TGAATTAGCCACTAATTCAAGACAGCTGGGGCCCTCGCGGGGGTCTGGGGTGATAGGATTCTTAGCGTGTCCACTGTCGTGGCATCCACAACCGTAGGAGATGATGTAAGGTTCGCTCGTTGGGGTCCTTGCGGGGATTCCGAAGGAACTCTCCTGGACCCTTTGCGGGGCCTGAAGGAGCTCTCCTGGACCGTCCGCGGCGCCTAGCGGGCCTTTTTGGGCGCCGTCGTGGGGCCCTCCGCTTCGTGGCCCGTCGCGGGTCGCTGGGCAAGGCGTCTGAACGAGCGTGCCAAGAAAAAGCCACAAGTTCCTTAAGAAAATTTGCAGATGTTGGTTTCGTGACGCAGGCATCTGTGGGGAGTCAACCAAGGTTGGCTTGCTGGGGCCCTCGCGGGGGTCCTGAAGGAACCATCCTGGTGCCAAGACGGAGCTTGAGACGGCCCCCTTTGGCCGTGTCCCTTCGAACGCGCCGTGGGCCAGAGGTCCGTGTTGAGGATGGGCGTACGCGGGTTTGCACGACGGTGATTGTGCCAGAGAGGGGTCCGACCACAAGGTTTGGGATCATCTTTCTGGTGCCGCGGGGACTGCCGCGCGAAAGCTTGCGGGGGGAGTTACTTGAAGCAGGGTTGCAGAGGGTAGGTATCCATCAATCTATCTATTTATTTATTTATACATATATGGCGAACATAACGAGCGTGCCGTCGGCGTCTTGCTCAAGACGCCAGCGCCCGATTTGCCTCGAGTGACCGTGGATTCGGCAATATATTATCATACCAACAACAAGAGCTGATCAGTCTCCCGGATGGTACACCATCTCACATCTACCTTCCAACCTGTTACCACATAGTCCTCGTTTTGCTCTTTCTTTGGTGGTAGCGCAGCTGGCCCCACTAAGTTGTGGTCAGCTCTGTCTACCGCAATACTTATCCACGGCTCACAGCACCCCTGCGACGTCAGAGCGTGACTACTGGCATGCAGGCGGAAACGCCCTTAGCGGACCAGCTATATCCACTATGGGTGACATCCGCCTGACTACTCCGAAAGCGTATACGCCATGGCTTTACGCCACTTAACCCCGACTTGCGATGGGCGTGGGAACAAGGTAGGTACCGAACGTGGAAGCGCAGACCCTATATTCTTGAACCAACATGGATACACGCCTCCACAGCCAATCCGCCGCATAACGGCGATGGACACTCCGAAGACGACGAATCACAATGCAGAGAGTTCGTCATGGAGTCAGCACTTGAAGCACGTCACCTTTAGCATTCTTGGGTTAGTCATTGGATGTGCTATATAGGCGACATGCAACGTGGTAGCCACAATGACGGAGGCGATAATACGACAAGGGGCCCACATTGGAATCCATCAGGGGACGTAGCTCTCTTCGAGTTCACTCGTGAAGTACATGCGTGGTTGAATGACTGTTACAAGCGCCCGCGTGACCCCACAACGGCAGGCCGCATGCTTGCCACCTCTTCACAGGTCCAGCTTGGCGTTGGCCGGTTGGACTTGATTCGTCATAGCGCGAGTCCTCGCGCGTTTTCTGCGTGAACTGTAGCCTGATCTCGCGGTTCGCTCTGCTCGTCTGCCCCCTTCGATTCTGAAACAGGGTTACAGAGGGTATGCATATATAGCGAGCATAGCGAGCGTGCCGTCGGCGTCCGGTTCAAGACGCTGGCGTCCATTTTGCCCAGATTGACCGTGGACTCGGCAATCTACTATCGCACCACAAATTATTCCGACGGAAGGACCCCACATGAGAATCCTTTGGGCGAATTTGGGAAAAGCCCTCACCGTCGTCCTCGTGGTTGGTGAGGCGTCCTGGCTGTCTCTTCTGCTTATATTTCTTCTCGCCCTGGCGCGGGCCCCCCCCCGCTCCCTACGTTGCCCCCGACCTCGCCCTGCTGTTTTTGGCTCCGGACATTCAGAAAGGGGCCCGGGAGTGGTGTTCTGGGAACACAAAGAACACAAAGTCGCATACAGTTGGCTCCGGGCATTCAAAATGTACCCCGGGAGTGGTTTTCTGGGAGCACGAAGAACACGAAGTGGCCTACAGCTGGCTCCGGGCATTCAAAATGTGGCCTGCGAGTGGCGTTTTGGCAGCGCGAGAACCCAAAAGTGGCGACAGTTAGAAGTATTTGATGACCCGCTCGGATTAGTAACATGATCCGCGGGCCCCATAGGGAGGGGGCCGCTTGAGACTTCCTCGCAATTCACTCACAAATGTGGCCTGGGAGTGGCGTTTGAGAGCCCCAAAGTGGCGACAGTTAAAGGAATTGGATGACCCGCTCGGATTAGTAACATGATCCGCGGGCCCCCATAGGGAGGGGGCTCCCGCTTAAGACTTCCTCGCAATTCACTCACAAATGTGGCCTGGGAGTGGCGTTCTGGCAGCACGAGAGCCCCAAAGCGGCGACAGTTACAGGAATTGGACGACCCGCTCGGATTAGTAACATGATCCGCGGGCCCCATAAGGAGGGGGCTCCCGCTTGAGATTTCCTCGTCATTCATTCACAGAAGAGGCCCAAGGCGAGTGAGTGAGTGAGTGAGTGAGTGAGTGACTGACTGACTGGTGATGACGATGATCAGCACACTCTTTCACGCGCACACTCATCATCATCATATGTGAGTGCTGATGAGTCAGTGAGTGAGTGAGTGAGTGAGTGCGTGAGTGAGTGAGTGAGTGAGTGAGTGAGTGAGTGTGTGAGGGATGGTGAGTGAGTGAGTGAGTGAGTGAGTGAGTCAGGGATGAGTGATGGTGATGATGATGGTGGGTTCCTGTTCCTGCGCGGGGTGTCCAGAGAAAACAAGAACCCCACTTTGGATGTGGGGAACAAGATCTGATCAGTCTTCTGGACGGTACACCATCTCTAATTTACCTTCCAACCTATCACCACATGGTCTTCATTTTGTTTCTATGGAGGTACGCAAAAGGTTGTGCCTGAGAGGGGCCCGACATACACAAACGACGAAGGAGGTCGCCGTAGGCGGGGGCGGAAGGAATATTCTGGGTTTTTTTTGGGGGGGGCCGTCGGCGTCGCTTTGTGGGCTGCAGGCCAATCTGGTCTAGGTGCGCGATCTTGGGCGTTTCTTGGGCCGCCCCGGGCCATCTGGGTCGTGGGGCGATCTGGGACGCCTCTTCAATAGTTTCGCGTCGGAGGTCCAGGCCTTTGCCGCAGATTTCTGGACTGCGAGGTGTCCTGACGAAGTGCAGCAATTTTGGCTGGTTGGGGCCCTCGGAGGGGGGGGTTGTAAAGGCAGTCGTGAAGCCGTCCTGGGGTGCGTCTACGGAGCCTCTTGGGGCCCTCCTGGGCCGTCCGCGGCGCCTTGCGAGTTGCATTGGAACCATATACTGGGCTGGGTTGCGTTGAGTGACGCAATTTTGGCAAGCCCTCGTGGGGGTTCTCTTGGAAGGACCTTGGAGGCTTCGTGGGCTGTCTCGAAGCCATCACAGGGCGATTGGCCACCATGTGGAATCATCCAGGACCCATGTGAGCCATGCCGAATCCGTCGGAGGCCGTCCATGACCATGTCTGAGGCTGCTGGGGCCGCTGGATTCGCCGGTCCATTTCACCCGGACCCCCCCTTCCAAACTGGCTGGATGGAGCCCCTCAGTTCAGCTGGCTGTCGGCAGAGTTGGGTTGCTCCTCGACAGATCGAACCAGTACTTCCAGGACCTCCCAATTACCCAGGACTTTCTTCCAAAAACCTCGGGTTTCAGCTCCAAGGCAGTGTTCTGCACTGATCTTCCAGAGCACCCGCTTCCAGAGCGCCATGGCGCACAGGCCTGCGGAATCACCGCATTTGACACTGGCCGTCTCCACGGGAGCTGGGCGCTGCGTCATTGGCCCTGGTACCAACCAGACCTGCAGTGCTGCGTTATGTGTGTGTGCGAATGTGTGTGAATGTGTTTGTGTGTTTGTGTTTCGTAGGCGTGCCCCCCAGAAGTCGCGACCCCTTCTAGGAGGCTCCCGGGATGGGGATGGGAACGCGGAGCGCAGCCTGGCATGGTCTACGGTCTGTCACCACACTGTTTTGTGACCCCCAAGCGTGCCCGTACCCGTTTGGTCACGACGCCTTGTCCCCAGGGCTGGCATCTCGTCCAGAATTCCTTTTTTCGACGGCCCAGATGGCGCCCGACCGGCCCCAAGGCTGGAAAGCCAGAGCATCAAGAGAACGGCGGCACCGAAAACGTCACCAGAATAGAGGATAAGGGCAAAGGCAGAGCTCGTATCCATGCGGCCTGGCGCTGGCGCGCGGCCGCGGTGGAGGAGGCAGGCTGTCAGGGGAGAACAGGGATATCCATGCCGCTGCTCGTTATGGGGAGTCCTCCTCACCAGGGCCAGCCTTTCAAAATCCTGGTCAGAACGCGCCCACTGGAGATGTCTGGGGAGGAGCGGTATCGGTACGTTTGTCCCCCCATCAGGGGGGGGGGGCGAGGACGGACGCACGAGCGCGCTACTCAAACTGAAAAATCGGGTGCCTGGACCCCCCTGGGCGGCGTCCCGGCCACCTTCTCGAGCCGCGGCCCAGCCGAGGCCACGAGGAGCCCCCCCACGGAACTCCACAGAGGGGGATTTCTCCTCCACCTTCTCTCCCCCCTCGCCGCCATGAAAAGTCTGGGGTCGCGCTCCGGCTGGCTCTCCTGGCGAGCCTCCACCTCTGAGGGGGAGGAGGAGGGGCCAGCTTCCACCAGCGGGCCACCTCCGGCGAGGCGGCCCACGATGCCCCCCCCCCCCGCGAGCTGGAGACCAGAGATGTCTCGAACGACCAGGACACCGCCTTGGCATCGCTCGGACGTGTGCATCTTTTCTCGGCGAGAACCATCGAGGACCATCCTGGACCATCGATCAACAAAAAACCACGCACGAAACCGAACAATGCACGGGAACTGGACGTCCGAGCGACGGCAAGCCGTAGCCTCTGCCCGTCGTCGTCTTTGCCTGGGCCTCCGCCCCGCGGCCTCCGGCCCTCGGCTGTGCCGCTGCTCCCGCGAGGTCGGCGGCGCTGAGCGGCGTGGTGCGCGGGGCGGGGGCCGGGCTGCTCGGTCCTCCAGCCCCTCTTTCTTTCGGATGCAGCTCCCGGGAGGTCAAATTCTGATTTAGCCCTGATCCGAAGTCCGGCTCAATCCCGCTGAATCCCGCTTCATCCCGCTTCATCCGGCTTAATCCCGCTTGATCCGAGGTCCATTCTGGCGTAACAGCCCCCCAATGGGGCTTAGTCCTCCTTAATACTTCCGACGAAAACCTCCCAGTAGTTGCCTCCTAACCCTCTTCCTCTCATCGAGGACGAAAGAACCCCTGACCCCAATAGTTTAGTGAAGACGTGGCCTCACTCAGGTCCCCGTCTTTGCACTAGGGATCGTGATTCTTGGCGGCTTGGTGTGGTGCATCTGCAGAGGAACCCCCTAGCTTAGCCCCCCTCCCAAAGTGGAAGGATTTATTGGAAAAGCATCCTTGCCCATAGCCCCTGCAGTTGCGGACAAGAGTGAGGGGGCGGCGGGGTCGTCGGCAGTCGAAAGCCCACCGCAGGCACCGACTCTGCACACATTGCGCAGGGAGCTCGCCACAGGCGCTGCATTTCCGTCAAAGCAATGTGCGTGGGTCGCGGGTGGGTCGCAGGATGGGTCGCGGGATGAGTCGCGGGCGGGTCGCGGGCGGGTCGCGGGCGAGGGCGTCAACAACAAGCACCAAGCATCTCAATGATGATTATTCTTTTTTGCTCGCATGACATTCAACGCGTATACCCCGAACCCTCGATACCCGCCCTCTTCGTCTTCAATCGAACCCCCTTGCGGGTATATCTTCCCCACCAGTCGCGTGTATCAGGCGCAGCCCCAAAAACAGGGGAAGGGAGGGAGGAGGGGACAAGGGGGAGGGAGAAGAATGGAGCACGAGAGAGATCAGCAGGAGGGGGTTTGGAGCAGGACAACCAACAGTTCAAGACTGTTTGCTCTGACCTGCTTGCGTGGCAATCAGCACCCGCCCTCGATGTCCGCCGTCTTCGTCTTCGATCGTACCCGCCTTGGGTATTCCGTGCTTGCCACGCGTAGTCCGCGCAGCGCCTACAACAGGGGATAGGAGGGAGGAGGCCAAGGGACGAGGGGGAATGCAGAACGAGGGAAGGTCTATCCTGCGGTAGGGAGCAGGAAGACCACAGGGAGAACCAGACGGGCGGGCGGACCCTCACCGGGGGGGGCGGGCGGGCGGGCCCAGACCGACCGGGTCGAGCGGGCGGGTCGTCGAAGCGTCGGGCCTCCAACAGACCGTGGGGGTGCCTCGAGCGATAGTCACCGAGCGCGTTCCCTTACTCGCAAAGTGCCTACTCGCAAATGCCCGAAAAACACATGCCCGCTTCGATGTCACTTGTCGTAGATCCCCCGCGGCGGATCCAGGCGATTCGCGAGTAGCTACTTTGTCAGTAGTGGAACGCGCTCGTCTAGAATAGCAGGATTTCCAAGTAAAGCTTGAGGAAGTCCAGAGCGGGAGTGTGATTCCGCGCGGCGTCTCAATACAGTGCGAGGAGGTCCCGCGTGAGAGCGCGATTCCTAGAGACACTGTGAGGAAGTCCCGCCGCGCGAGTGTGCGATTTTGAATCACTACTTTTGAGGAAGTCTCCGGAGGGAGCCGCTGTTGTCGTAAACGTGTGGCAAACAACACAGCCGGAAACGAATTTGTTCCTCTTGAAAGAAACAAGCTGCGACCACCGGAGGGGGGAGCACATCAAATGATAAAACACAATGGGCACCGGGGCCGAATCAATCATAGATATCGTTGAGGAACGAGGCTCAACGACACAAACACAAACAAATCAATGGCAACAGCAACCAGCTCTTTATTATTGTTCGCTCACAGATGCTCGCGTTCCATGCAACACGTTTATCCCATACCCGCCCTCTTCGCCTTAAATCGTACCCCCGTCGGGAATGTATCATCATTCGTTGCCACGTGCAAAAAGCGCAGCCATAAGCAAAGGAATAACATAACTCACAGAAAAGGTGCAGAGCGAGGAGGCAGAGAGTGGAGGAAGGGAGGGAGGAGGGAAGGGGACATGGGGAGAGAGGGAAAGGATGGAGGATGAGAGGGAGAACCAAGAGGGAGTAGCCGAAGGAGATGGCACTGAAGTCTATGTTCCATTAACGTATAAGGACCTCTCGAGCGCGAGCGCGATTCCAGAGGGCCGAGAAAGCGGTCTGGTCATAAATGTTGGGGACGTCTAAGGCGAATTGAGAACGGGGGCTTTCCCTTCAGACTTCGTTAGAATTGATGCCCAGAAGTGCAAAATTGCCAGTAGTCACGCGGACCGATGGTGGTTTCGTTTCAAGGCGGGGTTATGGTTAGACATGTTCTTGAACGTTCTAACCCCATCTTGTCGCACTTCGTATTGCTCGCAGGATGGGGGGCAGTTCTTTTCAAAATGGAACTCCCGCCTGAGTTGCGGGCCCATCCGACGTTTGTCTTTCAAGAGGGCGTTTCGCGCAGGGCAACGAACGCATATGTGGATTAGGGGAGAGGGGACATGGGACGGGAGGGTGTACTGCAGCATCTTTGGTGTACTTCGGCATTTCAGTGTCTCATCATCCTCGGGTCCTTCTGTTCCTCGCCCCCTTCGGGGGCCGAAGATCGAGGTACGTAGTTTCAGAGGTTTCTGCATTCGTGCGCTGATTCTAAGACTCCAAGACCTTCAGGGACCCCGACTCCGGGGACCCCGACCTCTGGGAGCTTGAAAAGCACGGCGCAGCATGTTCTTGCTGAGCTTCCGGGGTCTGGAGGCCGCTGCCAGGCACAACGGCCGTCGCCAAAACGGTCCGAGGCAACACACTTGTCCTGTGGACGGGTGTCGATGGGTCTGTGAGCCAGCGACTTGAAAAATAGCCATGCGTGTGTATATATAGTGGCGTTTCTTTTATATATGTATACAGATGAATAAATACAGGGGGGTAAAACACGACGACGAGTGCGCAGCCGGGGAGGGAACAGTGGCGGATTCGGCGAGGAATTCGAGGCATTGCGCCAGGGGCCCAGCGAAGGCGGTGGAAAACCAGCGACAATTCCAAGCTGGCCTGAACCTCACAGGGTACTGGGATGCTCGAAAAACCGTCAGGGCGCGGCAGACACGAAGCCGCAGACGAGGGAGAGAGCGGCAAATAAAGAGGGACGACCGGTGATTGGGCAGTCCGCGGCAGGGAATGCGTGTCGTTGCGGTGTCGAGTCGCGCACGGGGCGAGCATCCCCGCAGGTGCGCAGTGGGAAGCGGCGCCCCAGCTCAAGCCACACGCGCACGCGCACACGAACAAACACAAACACAAACACGAACACGAACACAAACACGAACACAAACACAACCACAGACACAACCCGCAGCCCGCCCCCTCTTCGGCGCCCCCGCCGTCAGCGGCGCCTGGCGGCCGCCCGCTCGCGATGGCACAAAGCGGCCTGGCTCAGGAAACGCGGGGTGAAGGTGAGGCGTTTCGTAGGCCAGGGCGTTGCTCCCTCCCTTGCCCACGGGGCCGCGTGCGAGGGCACGCCGCTCCACATTCAGAAACTTCCGAACGACAGGCTCAAGGCGCTTCCGGCGGGGACGGGGACTTTCCGCTCGGCGACGCTCAACCCTGCCATCGAAGGGGGCCACCAGGTGGCGGGGCGCGCGTGGAGCTGGCGCCGCTGCTGGCGTGGGCGCGCTCGTGCTGGGACCACCACGACATGTACGAGAGCATGCAGAGAGCGTGGGCCAAGCAACGTCGCACCATCGGGCCCCTCATGCGAGCTGACGTCCCATCCAGGGAACGGTGGGCAGAGGTGAAAGGGCCCAGCTGGCGCCACTCTGGCCACGTGCTCCGACAGAGGATGGCGCATGAGCGACTTCCTCCAGCTCGAGGTCGACTCCGGGCGATTCAACCTTTGCGAGGTGGCCCCCCCAGGCCGTGATCCGCGAGGCCAAGGAGGTGACTGGCGAGGCCAAGCTGGGCGCTTGGGCCAGCGTCCCGAGTCGGCAGGCGCTGCTGCCGCGTCTTTGGATCACGCCGCTGCGGCAGACCTTGCGTAAGACATGGTCGCGGAGCTGGACCGCCTACCACCGCAGCGCCGCGAAGGTGGCCATCTTCGGCGGCTGCCCCGAGCAGCGCTCCATTTTCGCGGAGGGCAGGGCCGACGACGCCATGTGCCCCTTGTGCGGCGTGCATGTGGGCACCAGCATGCGATTGCACTGGCGCGGCCGGACTCCAGAGTGCGATGAGACCCCCGAGAAGCTCGCCGACCTGGAGCCCGACGAGAACTTCAGCGACATCATCACGCAGGGCGAGGCGGCGCGGTATCCTTGGCTGTGGACGCGAGGCTTGGTGACGGACCCCGCGGTGGGGGTGAGCTGGCGGCTGCCCAAAGCCGAGCTCCACTGGGTCAAGCCCGACGGTCCTGGGAATTTCAGCGGAAACATCGCCACCACCGGCTCGGTGGTCGAGCCCAGCTGGCCGCGCCATTGCGCGGGGGGCTGGGCGGCCGTGGTGTACAACGACGATCGAGGAGCTGGGGCAGGGCTTGTGGGGCCCGCTGACCATCCCCACGAATGCACCCTGATCCCAGAGATCTGGGCGCTGATCATGGTGGTCCAGCACGTTGGCATCCACGTGGGGTGATCATCGACAACAAGGCAGTGTCTGACGGCCTGCTGGCAGGGCGTGTTCGCTGCTGCGGCAGCGGGTTGGCGGCCGCACACGTTTGGCGTCGCCTCTGGGACTTGTTGGAGGGCAGGCAGCTCGTGCCAGAGGGGAACCTCGTGGCGGTGAAGATCACGCCCCACGTCCCGCGGGCGAAGCGCAAGGCGATGAGCCCCGAGCAGCAGGCAACGCACGCGCTCAGAGACGAGGTCGACAAGTACGCGGAGATGGGGGCAGCTGCTTGCCCTGTGCCCGCCTGGGCTGTGGCGCATGCTGGCGCGCGCAGCAAGCGGGCCAAGCGCGTGGTGGAGTACGTCGGCAACCTCCGCGTCTTGCTGGCGGGCTCGGGGGCGGCCGCAGCAGCGGCCGCAGCGGGAGGGCCAGCGAACGTGGCCCAGCCGAGGCGCAGGCGACCGCCGTCCAGGGGCCACGTGCTGGTCGGCTCTGGCTCATCGTGGCGCTGCCAGTTCTGCGAGGCCCATTGAAAGTCCGCAGCGGGGCTTAAGCGACTGCGGGGCGAGCAGTGCCGCCCAGGCGCTTGGGCTGCCAAGGCGAAAAGGCAGCAGCAGCAGCAGCAGCGCCGCAGGCGCACGGGCGCGGACCGCAGCCAGAGAGAGGGCCCAGACGCGGAGGAGCCGCCAGAGGGGGAGCGCCCGCCGGCCCCCGACGCGCTGCCGCCCCCCGAGGCGCCACGGGAGTACGCATGGGCGCGCTGCGCGGACTACACGGCGCGCCGCGTGCGCGGCGCCTTCTTCCGACGCCAGCTCCGCAGCACCTTGGGGGCATGCGTGGAGCTGGGCAGCACCAGGAGGGGCAATGAAAGGCGCCGTCGGCGCAATCGGGCAGGCGCGTTCCGTACTCGAATACCAACTTGGGGGATCTGGCGGTGCCCGCGCCGCCGCAGCGAGCGGTGCCCCAAGGTGGGGGCGATGGGCGATGTCAGTGCGCAGATCGGTTTGCTCTTTCCATTTTTTTTTTTTTTTGTTTTTTCCTCCGGGGGCTGTGCCCGCCCCGCGCGGCCCCCGTTTGGCGCCGCCCCGTGGTGCCTTGGCGAGAGAGCGAATCGTTTGCACTTTCGCTCATGGTGTGTGGCTTGTTGCGTTTTGCGCGAGCGTCTGCGCTGAAGCGCGCTGCGCTGTGCGTGCGACGCGCGGCCCGTAGCTAGACATACTGATCTTGCTACAAGCGGGCCGAGGTGCGGCGCAGACGCCCCTCGGGTGAAAGGGGGCAGGGGAAACACCAAACATGCACACGCACGCCCACGCGCGCACACGCACACACACACACACGCACACACGCACACACACATACTCTCTCTCTCTCTCTCGCACACGCATGCACGCACGCACGCACACACACACACGCACACACACACGCACACACATACACACAAACACACACGCATGCGCGCACACACACACACACACACACACACACACACACACGCACGCGCGCACGCGCACGCGCACGCGCACGCGCACGCGCACGCGCACGCGCACGCGCACGCGCACGCGCACGCGCACGCGCACGCGCACGCGCACACGCACACGCACACGCACACGCACACGCACACGCACACGCACACGCACACGCACACGCACACGCACACGCACACGCACACGCACACGCACACGCACACGCACGCACACGCACACGCACACGCACACGCACACGCACACGCACACGCACACGCACACGCACACGCACACGCACACGCACACACGCACACGCACACGCGCACACACGCACACACGCACACACACACACACACACACATCACCGTCGGCGCTCCGTGGCAGTGGATTCGTCGCGCGAGCGCGCGTGCCCCGGGCCCCCGCGCAGATACCCCATTGGTGCGATTGTGGTGTCCATCTTTCTGGCTCGGACCGTCTGGGCCCTTCGATGGCGACGGCTGTCGACAGAAACCAAGCAGTCAGGCCAGGATTTCATGTCTGGGGCCTCTGGTGGCCTTCCCCGCCTCTTTCTCCCCCATCCTCCACCTCCTCCACCTGAGACCCCTGTCTTCCCTCCCTCTCAGTGCTTGCCAGGTCGGGATGGTCTGGGTTGTGCTGGGCTGGGTGGGACTTCGTGCCAGGGATTTGGCATAGCCGCCGGAGGATGGAATCGGACCTCGTCGCCGATGGTTTTGGGATGAACCCACCAGGGGGCCCCAGCAGAACTCAATAGGGGAGGTTCGATCCCCAGTATTCCGTGAGGAAGAGTGGGTCAGGTTTCTGGAAGGGCTCGGCAAGGCGCGCCTCGAGGCGCTCGACGAGGCTCTCCGCGCCGCAGGCGATTGGCCCGGGCTCCGCCGCGTCGCTGAGCTGCGGCGCCCATGCCATCCACAGTTCACTTTTGGATCCGCTGCCTTCACGCCGCGCGCGTACCAGTCCTCGGGCGCCGCCGAGTACGTCGACTCTCTGGCCCTTCGCCTCGGGATGCCCCTGGTTCCCGAGAACACGGAGTGCTCTTTGTGCGGCGAGGTCATGGGTCGGCGCGGCTTGCACCCGCAGACCTGCGCCCAGGGCGCAGCCACGCGAGGCCACTACCGCGTGTGCCACCGCGTGCACTTGCTAGCTGCTCTGGGCGACCCGGAGGCAGCCCCGGAGCCTTTCGGCCTCATACCTTCTCGTCCTTTGCTGCGCCCAGCTGACATTTTCACGTCGGCTGCCCATGGCAGCCTCAGCCTCGCGGCGCTGGACGTCGGGGTGTGCTCGCCGGAAGCCGCGGGCGCTGGGCTGGACTGCTGCGGTCCACCGCAAGCAGCAAGCGTACGCGTACGCGCCGTTCTTCGGCGAGCTGCGGCAGCGCGGCGTGAGTACCAGCCGATGGTCTGGAGCAGCTACGGGAGGGCCCACGCGGAGGCCGAGGACACGCTGCAGGGACTGGCCCGCGCAGCGGCGCGGCGGCGCGGCATCCCGGATCGGAGGCAATTGCTGCAGCGCTCGCGCGCTGCCAATTTCTGTTGAGCTCCAGCGGCGACTGGGGGGGCAGCTCCGCCGCTGCCTGCCCGAGGAGCCGCCGGAAGGCGCAGGGGCCTCTGACGCTTCGCCCGCGCCGCGGACGCGCGCGGCCGAGGGCGAGGAGGAGGCCGCGCTCGCGGGCGCGCTTGGCGACGCGGCGGCGGCGCCCCCGGCGGACGGGGCCCTGGCCGCCGCGGCCGCCGCGGCGGGGCCGGGCGGGCTGGTCGGGCTCGCCTCCGCGGCGGGCGGGGCCGGCGGAGCAGCTGGTGCGGCGACCAGGGCGGGCGACGCCGACCTGCTGACCGCGCTCGCGGAGCTGGACGGCGCGGCCGACGGCGCTGGGGGCGTCGCAGCGCTGCCCGCCGGGGCCCGCCCTGCCGACGGCGCAGCGCTGGGTGGCGCGGCCGACCCGGACGGCGCCGGCGGGGCGGCCGTGGCCCCTGGGGCCGCGGCCGCGGAGGCGGGGTTCGTGGCGGAACTGGCCGCTGGTGCTGGCGCAGCCAGCCCTGACGACGCCCGCCCCGAGGTGGCGGTCGCGGCCGGGGCCTGCGCTGGAACGCCCGCTGGGGGCCGAGGGGCGCGCGTGCGAGCCCTCCGCCTCGTTTACGGGCGCGGACCGTGACTGCCCCTTCCTCTGCCCCCGCCCCCCCCCCCTCCCCCCAAAAAAAACAAAATCTGGAGGGCGGGGTCTTCCATGTGGATGTTCTGGGCATGTTGTTTTTTCCTCATGAGTTTCTGAGGCGCGCCTCTCCTGCACTGAGGCTTGCAGGAGCTCTCCCTGGGAGCTGCCGGGTCTTCTAGAAGAAGGGCCCCCTACTTTCCTCCCCTCGGCTGCCTCCGCAGGGCGGCTCGAAAAAAGGCTGGCGCAGGATGAGGAGCATGTGAGGACCGAGTGACTTGAGGGCTCCATGTCGTCATCCCCCCTCGCTCTTCTCCTCCTTCCCTTCCCGCCTGGCTGTCCGCCCGCCTCCCGCCTCCTCGCTTCTCCTCGTCCCTCCTCCGTCGTGGTGGTCGTCGGCGGCGTCGGTCTCGGTCTGCGTCGTCGTCGCTTGGTCGTCGCTGCCTTCGCCGTTCCTGGGCTGCCACTGCTGCCCGAAGGACGGTTCTGACCCCGTTTCTTCGCACGAGCTGCAATTTGCATTGTTTTTCGCCGCGCGCCCAGCCAGGACAAGGCATAGCCCCCCTTGCGTCGAGCTCTGCGGGCTCCTGCTTGGGTCCGCCCCTTTTCGCGGGCTCGGCTGAGATCGTCTACGCGCTCCCTTGGAGGTTGTCGGACCGGCCTGGCCTCCCACGAAGGCCTTTTCGCTTGGGATTCCTGGAGGTGGAGGTTCTTCCGTGGGGTGGGTGGTGGGAGGGTCGTTGTGGGACCCAGGGGGCTGGCTTCGGTCTGGGTCTCGACAGCCGATCCGTGGATTCATGCTGGGGCGATCTCTCTGCGGTCGCTGCGTGGCTGTTCCGTCGTGGGGGCCCGCGGGAGCTCTTCCTCCCTTCTCTGGTCGCCCAGCGACTGCCTTCCGTCTGACAATCATGCTAACGAGAACGTGCCCGCGGAGCCACACTGGATCCGCAAAGGTCCATCCATTCAACCAGCCAACGTCCCCTCTCCCCCCCTCCTCCCCCTCCTCTCCCCACCGCTCCCCTCCTCTCCCTGCCCCTTCCCCGCTCCGCCCATCTCCCCCTTTCGCCCACTCCCCCCCCTATCTCTCATCGCCTTTCCCCCTCCTGCTGCCCCTCCCGACTCCCCCGTTCCTCCTCTTCTCCCGCCCATCCTCCCCCTCCGACTCGCCCTCCTGTTTGCCCCCGGCCACGACTATGACGGCGAGGACGGCGGCCGACGACGGCCCCAACCTTGCTGTCTGGTCAGAAACCTGGGCCTCCGGGGGCCGTTCGGAACGATCCGGGCGTCCCCGGTCGACTGTCGATGAGGCGCAGCTGCTGGAACGCAGCCCAAGGCAGAAAAACCGTCAGGAAACCACACATTTCCGAAAACCCTGGGCCACGACGACGACCGTCACGGCAACGGCGCGCGCCTTCGGTGGCAGGGGCCCCACGGGCGCTGACGCCGGTGGCGCGCGTCTTCGGCGGCTCGGTGTCCGTGGGCACCGTGGTGGCCGCGGCTGGCTGCGGGAGCCCTCGATCGATCGATAGTTTTTACTCACTGCGCGCAGGTCGTTGAAAGTATGTACCTCTGGAGTTCCAGATCCTAATCTACTTCTAGCGCCATCCTACTTCAAGAGTCGGCATTTGTAGATGTGTTATGTTTTTCCTGTTTTCCCCTTTTCTCCGAATACAGTCACAGTCCCTGCTACGTCGCTGGCTCAGCCTGCGGTGAAAGCAAACGCTGCACACAGTCGCAAGCAAGTGCCATTCGTTACAGCGCCGTCCTGCAGCCCTTAAGTCAGGAGCGTCTAGTGTAAAGATTGGCGCTAGTCGCACGCTGGGGTGGGCAGATGAGCCAGAGACGGACAGGGCCAGGGGTGCCCTCAAAGTGGGCATGCTCTGAAGTCCGCAACCCGAAGGATGTGAGCTGTGTGTCTTGTACATTGCAATGCGTTTGTATGTGAAGATTTGACCGTGTTGTGGATATGTTGGCAAATACAGGTTATCAGCCGAGGGTCTCTCCCGAGTTCGACTTCGGCATGGCGCGGGTGCTCAGCACGCCAGAGCTGGACTCCGGCGGATTTCTTGAGTGATCCTTGAGTTATTATGTCATTGTTGTAAGCTTGCTTGAGACCAGCATCCGCGCCGTGGAGACGCCGCACCAGCAGAAGAGCAGCCGCAGCAGCCCCAACCACAGCCGCAGGCCGCCGCAGCAGCGCAGCCGCAGCAGACTTAGTTATCCAGCTTGGTTGGTCGCCTTAAAAAGGGCGTCACTGGTGCGTCCTAACAGACAAAAAAGTAGCAACGAACGCCACAAAAAAAAGATCGTCACGGGTGCATTATGTCCGTAACATGAAGGGCCCCACGAACGCTTAACTAAATGGATTCGGTGGCTCACACCATTGAGCCGTGGTAGGTAGCCGCCCGCTCTGATAGCCGGGGGAGGCCGCGATGCCACAAAAGAGGGGCCTATTTTTTCAGAAGGCAGTCCTTGTTACGCCGCTGGTTCAGCCCACGGTAAAAGCAGACGTGGCGTACAGTCGGAAACAGGTGCCGTCTGTGGCGCCGTCATCCTGCAGCTTTTACGGCAGAAACTTTGTACTAGTAAGAGGGTGCCATCATTGGCATTGCTTGCGCGGTGAGGCGGGCATGTGATCCAGAGACGGACAGGACCAGGGGTGCCCTCAGAGCGGGCATGCTCTGAATTCTGCAACCAGAAAGATGTGAGGTGTGGGTCTTGTGCGTTGCAACACGTCTGTACGCGAAGAGTTCACCGAGTCTTGGGGATGTTGGGAAACTGCGTGTCCGCCGTCCTACTTTCACGTGCTGGCCTATTCCTTCTGGCCGGCGTGTATTCCTTCGTGGCATTGTTGTGGCCACTCTTCCTGTTCATCCTCGCCGTTCTTCTCCCTTCTCCCACAGGGTCGCTTCTCCGCGTCCTCACCATTCCTCCTCCCTCTTCGACCGTCGTTGATCGATCGGTCTGTGATACGTTTTTGTAGCGTTTGGCATCATTGCTGGTGGCAGAGGGTCTTCGGTGTGTCACCCAGCGCGATTTTTTATTCGGTTTCAGGTCGGATTCCGGTTTCGTCCGAGTTCGTCGTCCCTGCCGTCAGCCTCCTTGTTGTCAGCGTCATCGTCGTCGTCGTCGATCGGTCGAGGATCGAGGTTTGTGGGCTGTGGGCGCCGTGGTGGCCGCGGCGGGCTGCGAGAGCCGTCGTCGTCGTCGTCGTTTCCGTTGTCGTCGTCGCCGTTTTTTTTTATCCACTGATCCATTTTCCTCTGGTTCTTGATCACCCCCGTTACCTTGCCCCCGACCCAAATCCGCAACAAGCCCGTCCCCAGACCTGTCATGGCCTCCGCTTCGTCGCCCTGCCCATTTCCGCGCCCCGATGGTCGTCGGCATCGTCGCCGCCGCCGTTTCCATGCCCGCCGCCGACGTCGCCGCTGCGGCCGCTTTCGTCTTCGCCAGCGCGCGCCGCCGTCGCCATCGTCGTCGTCGTCGCCGCCGCCGCCGCTGTCGTCGTCGTCGTCGTAATCGCCATCGCCATAATCGCCATCGTCGTCGCCGTCGTCGTCACCGTCGTCGTCGTTGTCGTCGTTGTCGTCCTCGCTGCCGCCGCGTCCGCCGTCGCCGTCGCAGTCGCCGTCGCCGTCGTCGTCGTCGTCGCCGTCGCTGTCGCCGCCGCCGCCGCCTCCGCCACTGTCGCTGCCGCCGCTGGCGGTCCGCCGCCGCCACCCTCGTCGCCGCCGCAGCCGCCGTCATCGACGCCGCCGTCGTCGTTGTTGTCGCCGTCGCCGTCGTTGCCGCCGCCGCCGTCGGCGGCGGCGCGCCCCCCCCGAAGGACTCCAGGGCCGCCCGGGGCGCCGCCGCCTCTGGTGGTGTCGCGCTCCACGACCCCGCGGCCGCCCGCGAGGGCCACGTCGGTCGCCGCCGTGCGGGGACCCTCGCCGATGCCGGCGAGATTCGCGCTGGCGGCCCGCCATGGGGCCAAAGGGGGGGCGGTCACAGTGGAGAGTCGGGCCGGACGAAAGGGGGGGATAGGGAAAGGGGGGGTTACGAAAGTTGCTGCATGCAGCTGGTTTCGGCCCCGCCGAGGGGCCCATTCCTCGATTCATGGCCGCCTCCGGCGCTGGGATGCGCCGGGAAAATCAGCTACGTGAGCTGATTCTCAAACCCTCCCTTTGCTATCCCCCCCTTTTGCCCGGCCCGAGAGAAGGAGAAGAGGAACAGTGATACGTAGCACCCCGCAGTAGCGGATAGAAGTGCGGGGGCGGGCGCGGGGTGGGTCGCGGGTGGGTCGCGGGTGGGTCGCGGGTTGGGTCGCGGGGGGGTCGAGGGATGGGTCGCGGGGGGGTCTTGGGCAGGTCGATTGCCATGACGACATCAACACAACAACACAGAGTTTGGCGGACGGAACGCCACTTCTGCCACGCACCCAGGACAATGAATGACCGTTCGGGCCCTTCACTTTGACCTAGGCCTCCCAGATGGGGTCCGAGTAGATGGGGTGGAAAAAACGCTCCGCATCGTCGACGCATGGACGACGCGGCCCGATGTGGAGCCTGAATTTCTCCACGCCGATGGCGCCGATGCATTGCCGACGTCGCCGATACATCGGCGATTCGGCGCGACCCTCCGACCCCATCCATTCAAGACACCCGAGATTAGAGCGATTTGCAATTTCTTCACACCAAAGGTTTTCGCCCGATTTCGGGCCCTGGGATCATCCTGGATCGATCCAGCTTGAAAAATGGTGCAGAAGGATTGGGTCTTGAATTCTAGTCGCTAGTCGTGTAGAGGGAGTGGGTGTCCCCGCCCGCCGGGCCGCGGCGGCATGGAGACTGATGCGCAGCTCAGGCGATGGCTCACACGCGCTGCAGCGCCTCCGTTGTCCGCCGGGCGAACGGCGCGCAACGAGGGGCCCTGGAGGTTCGTTGAGCCCGCAGCTAGGGAGTCACGGCGGACCCCAGCTCAAATTTTGCGCGCAGATCATGCAATCAGTGGGTGTTCGGGAGACTGCCTCGACGAGCGTTGGCACCAACTGTTGCAATGCTTCTTGGCAGCGTCCCGTGGTGGGTGGGACGGCGTTCTGGGTGCCCGTGGGGGACGAAGTGCGTGAGTGCTGCTCCGAATTTGAGCTCCCCTCGGCCGTTCGAGGGGTCAGTTGAGAGCGTAAGGGGTGTGTCGAATTGAGCCCAGATCACTCGATACTCGTTGTCGAGAATATCCCGAGCGAAACGGCAGTTTTTGATATTAGGAATCCTTTCCGAAGCCGATTGGTCGAGGATGTCTCGAGCGGAGCGGCAAGTTGAGGCCATCGGAGCACGTTTCGCTTGTATGCTTACGCGTCCCCTGAGATTGGACCGTCGGAATGCGCGAGGCCGCGTCGCAGCCTTATCGCCGCCCAGATCGCATCTCACTAGTACTTCCACATGTCCCACGGGCTGTCACGCGCACGGGCCCTGCGTTGGGAGCGCACTTCACCCAGATTTCCACGCGCCCCAGGATAAATGGGTAAACATTGGGCTCGTCGGTCGACGGAGTGGGTGAAGCTCCTCCGAGCGTGCATCATGCATGCTTCTCCCTCTCCCCCGTGATCCTCTCGTCATGGATCCTCGATAGCCAGCACGGCGAGGGCCCTCGGGGGGCTCACCGAATTGAGCCCGCGAGCGGGAGATACGGCGGGCCCCCAGGGGGGAAGCTTGCACGCAGATGTCGCAACCACTGGGTGTTAGGGATACTGCCTCGACGAAGGTCGGTACCAATCGATGCAGTGCTTCCTGGGGCCATGGTGCAATTCTTAATGTTCAGAGCGCCCTCTGAAGCCGACTTGTCAAGGACGTTTCGAGCGAAACAGCAGTTCTTGAGATTCAGAGTCCCCTCCGCAGCTGATTCATCGAGGATGTCGCGAGCGAAGCGGCCATTTGAGGCCATCGGAGCACGCTCGTGTTTACGTGTCCCAGGAGCTGTGAAGCGCGTGGGCCCCGCGCGGGGAGCACGTGTCAATTGTGTCTTCAAGTGTCCCCATGCGAAGTGCGGAAGAAAGACTACGTGCACCAGGAGCCTGAGAGCGCAGATCACATGCATTTCTACCTGACAGGAGGGGGATCGAGATGCGGCCACCCTCCGGAATGGGCGAAGCCCTTCTTCGCAGGCCTCGCGCTTGCCGTCTCACTCTCCACCACTCCTCCTCCCTTTCGTCATCTACCCCCGAAGCCTACACCACGGCCGTGGCTCGCAGGGGGCCCGCGCGCTCGTCGCCGGTGCGCCTCCTGCCTCTGTGCAGCTGCGGCGGGCCCCGAGGAGCCGGCAGAGGCGCACGGCGGGCAGCGACGGGGGCCCTGGAGGTTCATCCCCACGGCTCTCGGGCCTCGCGTGCCCGTCCCCCCACCTCCCTCCTCCCTCCTCCTCCCTCCTCCCTCCTCCTCCTCCTCCTCCTCCTCCTCCTCCTCCTCCTCCTCCTCGGGCGGTCAGCACAGACGGCCCGGGACGCAGCGCCGGTGTCGGGGAGGGCTTTTCTGTCGGCCCAGGGCCCAGTTCCACCAGGACTCCTCGCTCCTCGTCTTGGCGTCGCTCGGGCGTGCGCCTGCTTTCATCGGCGAGCACCATCGAGGCGCATCCTGGACCCTCCAGCGAACGAAACACGCACGACGTCGAACAATGCACGGTGAGTGGACGCCCGAGCGACGGCAAGTCGTGCCACACGAACCGTCCACCGCGCTACGACCTGCAGCCGGGGGGCGGGAGCGGGCGCGGGGCAGTCTTCCACGTGGGCGGGTGGATGCTTACTCCAGATTTCGTAATAAAAGGGAGGGGGTCTCAACCCTCCCAGACGAGAAGTTTTAGACCCCCCCCCGTGGGAGAACCCTCCAACACATCGTCCCCAGACCCCCCCAGGCCCTCCAAGATAGCCTGGAAGAGACCCCCCCCGAAATGAGACCCCCCTCCCTTTTATTACGAAATCTGGAGTAGACGGCGTCGGCCCCCTCTGGGGGGCGCCCGAGAGGCAGGGCGCCCCACTGCTGGGCGGCTGCCGCCCTCGCCCGTGCTCCCTCTGCTTGCCTCCTCCTTCTCCCTCCTCCTCCCTCCTCCCTCCTCCCTCCTCCTCCTCCTCCTCCTCCTCCTCCTCCTCCTCGTCCTCCTCCCTCCTCCTCCTCCTCCTCCCTCCTCCTCCTCCTTCTCCCAACCTTGCGCTGGAAAGACAAAGCTCAGCAGCTCCAGGCCTCCCAGATGGGGTCGGAGTAGATGGGGTCGAAAGATCTGGGTAGTCGAAGGCCAGACTGTCAGATTGGATTGGGCCCCAAGGGCCAATCTGGCCCGGCCAAGCTGGACGATTTGGGTTATTCGCCAGACTGGATTCGCGTTGGCTCCCTCGCCAGATTGCCCCCGTTTGCCAGATTGGGCCTGCCAGATTGGCGCCAGATTGGCTTCGACTACCCAGTCTCCCAACATTGCGCTGGAAAAAGAAAGCTCAGTAGCTCCAGGCCTCCCAGATGGGGTCGGAGTAGCTGGGGTCGAGAGATCTCGCCGCACCGTCGACGCATCGCCGATGCATCGGCGATGCGGCTCGATTTGGGGCCCGATTTGCTCCACGCCAAATTCGCGGATGTTTCGCCGACGTCGCCAGTGCATGGCCGATGCATCGGCGATGCATCGCCGATGTATCGGCGATGCGGCGAGATCTTCCGACCCCATCTACTCCGACCCCATCTAGGAGGGCCGTAGTAGCCAGTTTCGCCACCTGCATATGTCACATGGGACATTCGCGTAGCCCTCCCGCGCACCCAATTACCTTTACCGCGTGTCGTTTCTGTGCGCGGGACGTTTTTGCCGTCGTGTTCGTCGGGGCCTGTCGAAAATTATAATTCTGCCACTCCTTCCCTCCCGAAGTCGTACAGAGTTGATGCCTCGGCACACTAGACGCACTTTCCAGCGCTCACGCGGCTGACGTCTACAGCACCCGCAAAGCGGCATTCACGGCAGGCCGCCGCGGGGAATTCGCACCTACACCTCCCATGAGAGGGGGCCGTCTGTCTCCTGCTCCTTCACTTACGCAGGAATTGCCCGTTTCGGCACACGCACGTGCTGCAAGGATGCAACTCCTGGGAGATCAAATTCTGATTTAACCCTGGTCCGAAATGCCGCTTCATCCGGCTGAATCCCGTTTAATCCGGCGCAATCCCGCTTGATCCTGCTTAATCCCGCTTGATACCGCTTCATCCGAGGCCCATTCTGGCGTAACGGCCCCCCAAATGGGGCTGAATCCTCCTTAATCTTTCCGACGAAAACTTCCCAGTAGTTGCTTCCTAAGCTCAACGTGCCAGGGAGCCCCATGCACGGGCAGCACGCAAAAGGTTTGCGTGGGCACGCGGCCGCCTCTCTGGGCCCCTTCCGTTGGGCGCACGCAGCCCGTGTTCCCCCCTCTGCGCTGCGCGCTCGTGCGCGCCTCGGGCCGATAGAGCGTCCTGGCGCCCGCCTGGCGGGGCGGCGCCGTCGGCAGGGTAGGAACAAAGGAAGGCGGCACTAACACCACCAGGGCGAGGAGATGCGGGGAGGCAGGAGGGGTCTCCCTGGTGGTGTGGATCCCCCCTCTCGCTCGAGACATCCCCAGCCTCCAGCTCGGGGAGGCATCGTGGAGCTCCTCGCTGGAGGTGGGCCCCCTGGTGGTGTTGGTGTCGCTTCTCCTCCCGACAGGGGTGGCCCTGCACCCGATGTCCGACGCTTTTTTCTTTGGACGGGTTGGATGTGTTGCGTCCCCCCGGCAGAGGCGGCAGCACTCGGGGGAAGCAGTGTGCAAGCGGTCGTGCTCGGCATGTTGGCGCTGTGTCTCAAGATGCCAGATGCTTCGAACGAGTTCAGTTTTTCCTCATGCTTGCGTTCGGGGGCGAAGCCTACGTCAAGTCTGTGATGCAGGTAGGCCCTCGCCATTCAGAGGGGTCGGTTGAGGCTGCAGTTTCCCCGCCAGCCGATGTCCGACGCCTTCTTTCTCTGGACGGCTTGAATTTGTCACAGTCTGGGATCGTCGGGGCTTTCGTTCAGGAATGTGGCCAGGAGGCTTTATACCCTGGAGTATTCCCTACCTGATGAGGGCGACGGTGAGATTCATGGCCAAGTCTCAATGGGTGTTCCACCAGCTCCCATATCCTGGATACTTGATCGAATTGTTACATATCCAATGCCCTCACCGCAGTTCTCCCGCAGAGGTTTGGACACTCGGGGCGCACTGTACAAGTGGTCGTGCTGGCAAAGAACCGCTTCTCAGGCCAGATGCGGCGTCTTAAAATGCATGGTTGTTCGCTGGCGATTTGTTGTTCTCCCTGACGACGCCCGCGTTCGGGGGCGAACCCTATATGAAATATGTGATGCAGGTAGGGTCTCGCTTTTCAGAGGTAGCCCTACTAGCCGCATGGTTGTGAGCGGAACCTCGCATGCAGGAGTACCAAAGAGTTTTGATGTATACGTGGGCCATGCCACGAAATGCGTGGTGTTCTCGTCTTCGCCTGCGTTACGCTACAGGCGGCGCTCTCTCAGCCAACGGCTGCCTTGTCTCGCTCTGGACGCGTCGCACATGGCAATATTTGCATCGCTGCCTCATGCGGCCGCGCAGTGATTCGCACCTATGGGCTTTCCTTCCCAGTACTGGGGCTGACTTCGTTGGGTTCATCGTCAAGACAGAAGAGGTCGAAATTGAGCTTCGCCTGTTGTCGTCGGCCTCTGGGCGCAGCGCAATCAGCCCTTGTCTGCGTCAGCCTCAGACGGGGGGCTGGCGTCCAGTTTCACCCACGTCAAAGGTGTCAGCAAGCCTTTCCATTGAAACTGGTCTTCATCTTCTCCGGTCGCCCGTGCCCAAGCTCAGTGATTTTGAGGGCTGATTCTGCACCCCCCCCTCCCCCCCCTGCCCCCCGTCCCGTCTTTTACGCTCTCCCTGGGACCCCCCAGTCCACCGGTGTTCGTTTACCTTCCCCATCTAGCGAATTCGACGGCGTGAAATGAGAGCGTCCTTTGTCTGCCAAGGGGTTGGGGGCGAGGGCAGGCATTATCACATGGAGCAGAGTCCTTCCCGGAAGGGCCGATGAGCACACCTTGAAAGCGTGGAAGAGCTCAGGCGTTGCCCGGGGCGCCTCGCTCTCACTGGGCCTGCCCCTCGCCCCTCCCCACATCCCCGCGGCCATGCTGCGGTCGTTCAGCCCCTGTTTGGCCCAGATGCCCTTTCTAAATCCCGCCCTTTCGCCCTCCTTCTCCTCCTCCTCCTCCTCCTCCTCCTCCGCCTGTCCCTCTTTTTCCTCACAGGTGGAGCCGATACGTTTCAAGGAGATTTCGTATCACAGCGGACTGTTTCACTTCAGGCGTACGTCGAATAATTTCCTTGCGGGAGAAAAAAAATATGCCCTTTCTAAATCTCTCGGTGGGAATGTTGGTCGACGTTGCTTGCTTGAGAGAAGCTCGCATGCAGTCAAGACGCTGAAATCGGGGGCGGAAAAGAGGGGGTGATGACCAGGGGGGGGGGATATCATGGCGGGGGCCATGATATTTCCTCAGATTTCATGTCGTCTCTTCTTGTCTCATTACGTCCCTGGCCCCCCCGCTGGGCCGCGCACATGCCGCCGGTCATGATTTGCACCCCCCCCTCTTGGACACCCCCCTCTTGGCCGCTCCCGATGAAAGCAGAGCCCCTGCAGGTTCGGAACTCCTATCTTGTTCGTGCCGTTCCTTGGGGCTGGGTCGGGGGCCCTGCCTGTGGCCGTGACTGGCCGTGGCCGGAGAAGCTCATTCGGTCCTTGGGCAGCGTTCTGTCAGGTGGCACGATACTGTCGGCCCAGATTACTCCCTCCTCCTCCTCCTCCTCCTCCTCCTTCCCCTCCTCTTCCTCCTCCTCCTCCTCCTCCTCCTCCTCCTCCTCCTCCTCCTCCTTTCATGTTTAGCGATGGCCAGGTCAGGAGCGAAAAAAACACCTCCCGGGGAAAGGGGATTGGGCCGTTCGGGGGCCACGCGCGAAACAGATCACGACCTAGAGGCGGCCCGGATTAGTGGGTCGACCCTGCCAGATCAAGGGTACCCTCGTGTCCTGTGTCTCGTGGCCCCCGCTTCCTACCTTCCTGTGGCAACGTGGCCCTCTCGGAAGGGTCTGGTGCCCTCTCGGGTGTCCCGTCCGATCGAGTCCGACTGTAATTGCAGCGTCCGGCGAAGGCTTCTGGAGTAAGGTCTGACCGTCGGCGGGAGGAGCTGGATGCTCAGATTTCAGGGTCACACACGACTGCTGGAGCCCAGCCTCGGGCCTTGACGCTCAGGGTGCCCCATCGCGCAGCTCGGGCGTGTGCACGCTCGCCCATATGCAGGGGCACTCGTGGAGCCCCCCCGCGGAGGTCGAGGGAGCAGGAGATCCTCCTCCTCCTCCTCCTCCTCCTCCTCCTCCTCCTCCTCCTCCTCCTCCTCCTCCTCCTCCTCCTCCTCCTCCTCCTCCTCCTCCTCCTCCTCCTCCTCCTCCTCCTCCTCCTCCTCCTCCTCCTCCTCCTCCTCCCTCCTCCTCCTCCTCCTCCTCCTCCTCCCCCCCCTCCTCCTCCTCCTCCTCCTCCTCCTCCTCCTCCTCCTCCTCCTCCTCCTCCTCCTCCTCCTCCTCCTCCTCCTCCTCCTCCCAGCGCCCGCTCGGCGCCCGACCGAGGTGGCGCCGGCGCCAGGCGTGCCCATGACGCCGAGCGTGCCCATGATGAGGCCAGTGGCGCACGCCGCCCCGGTCGCCACCTACGGGCCGCCCAGGCCCACCTACGGGCCGCCCGCGCCGGCGTACGGCGTGCCGGCGGCGCTGGCGGCGGGGCCGCCGTGCGGCACGGGCAAGGGGGAGCTCGAGGCGGCGGCCGCGTCCCGGCCAGAGCACGCTCTCCCGGGCAGCCCACTCGGGCGCTCGTCGTGGGGGGCTACCAGGGGGGGGCAGACCTCCTGAGGGGGTCCGAGGGGGGTCTGGAGGAGGCCCCCGGAGATCCCCAGGCAGCCTCGAAGGGAGGAGCGCGCGAACGCCTTGATCTTCTTGAGTCGTGGGCCCTTCAGAGAGGACGCAGGGGGTCGCCCACTGAATAACGGAGTCGGCTTCAGTTCGACTCGAGGTCGGCCCAAGTCGACGCACGATCGACGCAGCATCGATGCATGAGTTGACGGAAGTGGGCCGATGAAGGTCCCCAGAACGAGCATCGGGTCCGACGTCGGAATTTGCCCAATGCCAGCTATGGAATCACTTGCATTCGCGGTCCGCCCCCCTGCCTCGGCCCAGCCTCCCCGAAATCCACTGCCATTTGGAGCCTAAATTGTGTATCGGGGTGGTCGTCGGCCGAGGAGCGCTCCACGCCAGGGCACCCCTCTCTCTGCGAAGGCGCCAGACCGACCTGCAACTCCCGCACCTGGTCCAGACATTCCCCACCGAGGCCTGCTGTTCCCTGCCAGCCTCCAGGGACCGCGATGCCCCGACCCGGGGAGTCTTCGGCGCCCCCCCGGCAGAGGACAGAACGGTTCTGTCGGCATAGGGGGCGGGATTGGTTGATGTCGCTTCAGAATCGGCCTGGATCCCCCAGAGCCCATTCAACGGACCCCATGCCTGCCTGTAGCCCCGCAGTCATCGTCGCGGCCCACGGGCCCCTGGCGGGCGTTCCGAAGGGCGAGGCGCCTGGCCCCGAGAGCGGAGAACACGGGCTCATGAGAAGGCGTTGTTTGGGGATGCCCAGGGCCGGGACAATTCGTTCCAGGCCGTTCCAGAACGCTCTCACGGCCCTCTGGAGCGCTCTGGAATGGCCGCCGCGTCCGAGTCTTCCGAGTCCGTTTGTGTCCCCGTCTTGGTTTCATCTCTTGGTGTTCCCCAGCGGCCTCTCTTGGCGGCGCGCACAAGGGGTTGGCACGAGGGGGGGCCCAGAGGTCTGGACCCCCTTCCCCTGGGGGTAACCTTAGGAAGCAAACGATCCCCCCCGTGGTAGCGTTAGCACAGAAGCAGACATCAATAATCTATGGGGGGCAGATTCAGCAGAGCAGTATCTTCAGCACCGCACCAGTCCGCAACAAATGAATAATAGTAATGACCCGCCGACCCCTTGGGCACTTACCGTGCTTCTCACACTCCAGCTTCTCGTGCTGCTCCTCCTCCACCTTCTCCTCCTGCTCCTTCTGCTCCTTCTCCTTCTTTCAGGAGGGGAAAAAACACACAGAGACAATGAATCGTCGATTCCCCCGAAAATATGGGGAGATATGGGAAGTGGGGGGGAAAACAAAAACCCAGAAAATATGGGAAAAGAGGGGGACTCCTTTTATTTGTGTGTATTCATGTGTGTGTCCCAGGGCCCCTTCATCCTTTTCCTCCTCCTCCTCCTCCTCCTCCTCCTCCTCCTCCTCCTCCTCCATTGATTTTCTTACAAGTAATTCCTCCCTGCCGCTCCCATGATGCCAGTCGAAGGGGCGGGACGGGCGTTTCGTCCTAGACATCCTCACGGTTTATGGTCCTGAAGCTTAGAAGGTGGCAATTCTTTTCACGGATTGAGGGCGAGCTCCTTTCAACATGTGGTTCTCGCCTCAGCGCCGCGCACATTCGTTTTCAACAGTTGCAAGAGTTTCACGAATTCCCATGGTCAACTTACCAGAAATGGCATTATGGAAGGACTCGGGGTTGTGAGGGCGCAGCAGTTACGTTGATTCGCGGTGTGTGTTGGAATTTCAGGAATGGCATTCTGGCGCGATTCAGGATCGGCAAGACGCAACAGTCCGGCTGAGTTGTGGCGTTGGAGTCCCGAGAGTGGTGTTTTGACACGCCTCAGGGTCTTCCAACGGTTGTCTCCCAGCGAGGCAGTTGCCTCAGTGGAAATGAGCCCTCGTAGAGGCCTGTGAGGAGGGAGCTCGCAGGAAGGTTGGTTCCAACATCGTTGAGGAGTCTTGTATTTACACTTTTCCTCCTCCTCTTCCTTATCCTCCCCCACTTTCGAGGGTCGTTGGGGCTCCAGGAGATTGATAAGCAACGGCCAAGTGCCAGGGAGCCAGGGTAACGCTTCTTGGTGCTGAATGCGATTTCGTTTCACCAGAAGGGGGGTCGATAGTAGCTGGATGGAGTCAGTTTTTTTGCCCCGCCCCATCCTCGATGGTCCAGGAGGCTGCAAGCGGCCCCCAACGGCCGAAGTCGAGGAACACCACCGCTGGGATGGAGCAGGTCGGATCTTCCCGGGCGCAGCGGCCGTCGCACGAGATGCCCCCCCCCCTGCGCCGGCTCGAATGGGCCAAACAACTACACCCGCACGCTGTTCGAGTTTGTGGTGAGGACGGAATTCGCCTGCTATCTGATCGTCGAGTCTTTCGTGCTCGTCTGAGCCGCGCCGACGCGCCTTAGGGTGTATGGTACTCCTTTCCTTTCCTTTCCGCGCCGGCCCCCGCAGGGCGGCCCGCCGCAGTTCACGGCGGGGCTCCCGGACCCCGCGGCCATCGAGTCGCAGAAGACGGTCTACACCCACGAGCTGGACGACCAGCTGAAGCAGGGCGTGGAGGCCCCACGGGCCGCCGCGCCCCCCTCTCGCGCGGAGCAGGGTCCAGGCGGAGAGGCCCCGCGCCGTCGTAAAGCCCTCGGGGGGCCCTCGCCGGGCCCCTCTCGAGTCGCCCCTCATCCGGAGCGAAAGAAGGACGTACACGTACATGAATCCACGCTGGTTTCGAGAGCACGCATTGCACAAATGATCGTATCACGCGGCCGGTCTCGCGGATCGAGGGGCCGTGTTCATGCACATGGCTGGGCGCGTATGTCCTCTGTGGGCTCCCTGCCCTTGTGGGGCGGAGAGGCGCCCGCCCGCTGGGGGCACGCCGCTCGGCGGTGGTGCCCGCGGGTGCTCCTTTCGCTTCCGCGAGTCCCGCCGCCGCCGTCGCGCACCGTTACTCCTTTCGCTGCCGCGAGTCCCGCCGCCGCTGTCGCGCACCGTCGGGGCACACCCCAGGAGGGCCCCGGGACCGTCAGGATCCGACTCGGGAGGCATCGGCGCTGGTCCTCAGAAAGGGGCCGGGAGCTCTGAGGGCCCCCGCTTAGAAGCCATGAGGGTGCCAAATGAAACCTGCGGTCCTTCTGGCACCCTCCCGATTCATTTATGTGTAATATCAGATCTTTGTATTCCAACTACAAAAAGGAAACCCTTTTATATTCCGTCACAGAAGAAATCCTTTTGTATTTTGCCTCAAAAGGAATCCATTCGTATTCCGCCGCAAGATGCTTAATCTAAAGGGTTCCTTTTGTATTCCGCCACAGTAGAAATCCTAGTGAATGGCTGGAGAACATATGTTTTCTCAGGTTTTCAGCTTTTTCTATGTTGAAGTTTGTGTTTTATTACCAGGCTCAGCTTTTCAGCTTTTTCCCAACCATCCTGTTGTGTTGGGTCCTCGTTTTGAAGAGACGGTCCCCGCGTTCCTCCTCCCTCCTTCCTCCCTCCCCTTCTTCCCCTTTCCCCCTCCTCCCTGCGTTCCACCCACCCAGTGGAGCGCTTCGTGGCCCCATAGGGAGCTCCACCGAAGCCCCTGGTGGGACCCTCCGCCTGCGTCTCGGAAACCCCATTCGGCACACCCCATCACACGTTTCGTAGCCCCGTGCGGCTGCGAGGGCTCCGCGCCGCGGCGCGCTGGACCGGCGTGCGGGACCGCGTTTGGTCCAGGGGTACCGTCGAAGGCGCGTTGGTCAGGAGGGAAAAACACACAGACACAATTAATCGTCGAGTTGGTCCAGAGTCCCAGCCAATCTGCGCAGAGGTCCTGGACGAGCCACCGAAGCAGGCGCCGCCGCCTTCGTCCTTGTCGGTGCCAGAAGCGAGGCCGTTGACGTTTCGGGCGCAGGGGCTGTGGCCGAGTAGATAAAGCAGTCGCCACTGTTGTCCTCGTTGACTTCGTCATCATCGCCGTCGTCGTCCTCATCAGCGCCGTCGTCGTCCTTGTTCTCGTCGTCCTCCTTGTCCTCGTCGTCCTGGTCGTTGTCGTCGTGGACGTCGTGGTCCTCCTCGTTGACGTCCGGGCGCGCAGGTCCTGGCCGAGCAGCTGAAGCAGCAGTCCGCATACCTCGCCGCGGTGGGTGAGCAGCAGAAGCGGCAGTACGGGCTTCAGGTCGACCGGGACATCAAGGCCAAGGAGATGGTGCTTGCCCTAGCTGCCAGGCCTCCCGGATATGGCCCGATCGGTTTGACTCCTTCCACCTGCTCGCATTTCCACCTCCATCGAAAAGCGAACCACTGCATCAACAGAAACAGTTGGAGCTCCGCGCAGATTCCTTGGATCGGCGCTGGCACCCCCTGGCGGCGCCTCCAGCGCCGCTCCTGGCGCGCTCCGAGCGCTAGGGTGGGGTGTCCAGCGCGGGTCCGAGAAATCCGCGCAGAACTCAAAAAAATATATGTTTATGCAGTTTGTTCTTTCTCAACAGGTAGGGTCCGATCCGTGTATTTCCTTCCTTTGCTCGTACTTCCATTTCCGCTTTGGCTAGTTCGTTGGCGCAGAAGGGACAGGAGGACAACCAGGGATAAACGAACTCGAAAAACTACGCTGCGCAGTATTTTCCGGTCCACTGGCCGGAGGGGCCAGGGTAAGCGAACTCGAAAAAAGTAATGACGATGGATTGCCGGGTTGGCTGGCCGGAGGGGCCGGGGTAAGCCAACTCGAAAATCTCTTTCCAGCGGGCTGCAATAGTAAGGCTGCACGAGAATCTGGGCTGAGAGATCTCGAAGATTCCGTCTACGCTCCTTTTGGTTGTCTCGCCAACCCCCGCTTGTACCGCGACTGCTGTCCCTTGTGGCAAACCAAGGTCCACCTTAGCTAGTTCATCCAGATTGTCATTGAATCGTTTGGCCCATGTGGTAGAGGATTCCCATACCCATGCTCCTCCCTGGGTCTCTTTACGTGCCGTCTTTCGTCTCAGAGGGAATTGCCAAACACTGATGCTACTGAAGGTTCAAACGGAACATTCTGGTGTCCGTGTAGATGTGGTCGGAGGATCGCGCCGCATCGACGACGCATCGGCCATGCAGCTCGATGGGGAGGCAGAGTGCCTACACGCCGATGGTGCTGATGCATCGCCGACTAGGGCGTCTCTGGAGCACTCCAACTCACAGGAGGAACAGGGTCTTAGAGATGGCCTGGGGGGCTGAGGTGGCCGAGTTCTGGGTCCGGCCAGAAGGGGGGCAAGGGGCCCCCCGTCGCCACGACTGGACGCGGTTCCAAGAGCTAGTCAGTCTCGACCTTGGGAGGGGTCCGGGGATCGATCTTGAGAGGCTTTGCCCTCGCCCCCCCCCCGCACCCGATCTTCCCAGGACCCCTCCAGCGCCGACCCCCGGGCCGCTTCCGAAGTGTGACCGCCAAGAGCCCGTTGGGGTTTGCGCGGGCCGCTGGGTGGCGGCAAGCCCTCCGGTGTCGCTCGGACGTGTGCACTGCTTCTCGGCGGGGATTATTCAGGAGCATCCTGGGTCATCCTGCGAAACATCCACGCACGAAACCGACAAAAAGCACAGGGAATGGACGTCCGAGCGACGGGGAGCTGGGTGGTGGCAAGCCGGAGGGTCCTCACTGAGTGGCGCTCGGGCGTGGCGCCGCCCAGGGGTGGGCACTTGCCTGCGGCGGCGACGTTCGGAATCGCTAAAGGTGGAGCAGTTCCACTGTTTTCGGCCTCCGCCATCCTCAGACTCAGAACGAAGCAGGATGGAGCACCAGGATACGCACCCTGCTCTCGCCAGTGCTCGTTTACCTTTTGGCTGGGTAGCCAATTTTTGCGACCACTCTGCGCTCTCCCCTCTCGTGCTACTGCTGCTCCGCCTCGTCCGCCTTACTTTTCTTCCCTGGCGCTACCGCACGTTTTCTGAGGCAGCGTGGTTTGATTCAGTGCCGGCTGATTCGCGAGTCTTGCTCTGGGGGGAGCAACGATTGAGGATGAAAACCGGTCCCTTGGAATCGAAGAGTCACATATTGTATAAGCATCGTGTTTTCCGTTGGTTCGCGCAGATTTCTTAGATCGGCGATGGACCCTTCTGGCTGCTCCTCTGGCGCCGCTCCTGCCTCGCTCCGCGCGCCGACGGGAGGGCTCGGCGCCGATCCAAGAGATCCGCGCGGACCCCCGAGGACCCATGTGCATGCCTTCTCTTCGGTTCCACGAGCGAGTACAGCCAAGTCGTTGAAATAAGGAACAGTTTGGTTAAGAAAGGGGCTCGATGATCCTTAGATCCTTCTATGGCTTTTCCTCTAGCCTTCCTCGTGCACGCAGGCGCCTGTTGGGCCAAAAAGGGGCTTTGTTCCGTGTTTCTTGTTCCTTCTTTCAGCAGCCCGACTGTATCAAGAACTCGCTGCCGTTTGGATCCGATCAGCGTGTTTCTCCATCGATTTCGCTCGAAGCCAGCGTGTTCCTTCGGCAGGAAAGTGCTGATGGTTCCCCGCGGCGGCGTGTCGTTGATGCTGTTTTCGGCCCCGCCCCGTCTTTGGGCGGGTTCGAGAGGCCTGGGGGACTGCGCTGCCCACGAGCATACAGTGGGGGCGCGCATCAAGAAACCAGATGCTTTTCGTCAGGGTATCCTGGGTTTCTTCGCTCCTCGCGCTGCGCGGTGACTTCCCGCAGCCGTTGAAGGAGCTGCTGCGTTCAGGGTGCTCCGGGTTTCCCCTCAGGTGTACTTCGCGCGCGGGTTCTCAGGGTTGGGTTTCTTGCGAGTTTTTTTTGCGGCCGCGCCCGCACTGTAATACTGATTGATTGCAAGTCCAAGGGTCCAGAAAGCTCATGGGACGCAGGGCCAAGCTCAGAGTGGGGGAGGAGGAGGAGGAGGAGGAGGAGGAGGAGGAGGAGGAGGAGGAGGGGGTGCCCCCGCCCTTGGCTGTACAGAGCGCTGTTGAATCACCAAGGCCACGCCCGTTCCCTGGGGCTTCTGCCGACGGTTTGTCGAGGTCGCTTATCGGCTCCTCTTGCTTGTTCGATCGTTTCGCACGGACGCGCGCGGAGCAGATTGGCGCACTCGGCGTTGCGCTGCCCCCCTCTGGGGATGGTGCCCGCAGGCTCGTAGCTCTGACCTGGACCTGCACGCGCCCACCCCGCCTGTGCTCCCTTGGAGGCAGGCTTCAGACCTGGGCAGGTGTGCCTGCGTCGAGGGGGGGGGGCGGTGTGGCGAGGCCCGAAAGGAAACCTGGACTACATGGTGTGACGTCTCGACCCGGCGCTGCTTGAGGGGGTGGTGGGGGATGGTCAGAGGCGACGGTAGGGTTGAATAGCCCAGGGGAGAGCAATACATGTATTCAGATGCGCCGATGATCTATGTTTTCGGAAAGGCTCCCGGGCGAATGGGTTTGATGCCCGCCCCTGGTCTATTCGTCCCTATCGTCGCCGCCGACATGGGGCGACGTGACCTGCAAGTGACCTTTGCCAGAGTCTACATATTCAGCCGCTCCTTTGTTTTCGTCGCATAGCCTCTACCCTTGGTTTCATGAACAGGAAATACGAATGTCAATCTTTGTTTGATGGGTTCCGAACATAACATTTGGGAATATTTGGGCTCTGGTGGGAATCTGGACCGGATTCCATCAGAGTCGGCATGCTGGCGTTCCAGGGGAACGTGCAGATCTCGCATCGGAAGAGGATTTGGCTCGCGACGAGTCTCATGATTTCAAAGTCAAGTCAATCAGGTGTTCTGTACACTCCGAACCTTGGCACGGGACGACCTGGCCAGGATCGTGTCCCATCACAATATCTTATCGCCCGATTGCCCCGGAGACCCCAGGGCATTTGGGGACCCTCCACGATGGACGAATACTGTCCCACACGATGTCTTGTAGCAGGATTAGTTTTTTTTTTTTTTTTTTTTGTTCCCCCCCCCCCCCGAGTGTGCCTACTATATATATATATATATATACACATATATGTGTATATATATATATATATATATATATATATATATTATATATCCGTAAGGGCTTCGCCCCCTGCCGCCGGCCCCCTCTCTCGGAGAATGGGCCATGGAAGAGCTAAGTCATGAGGCTTTGGCGCTGTCGTGCAGCAGTATCGGAACTTCATGCGAGGCCGATTCGCAATCGGCAAAACCAACTGATCACAAGAGGGGTTACCACACAGGGCGATTGGTAAGACGTGTATGGTTTACGAGCTTGGTTACCACACCTTGGGATTAAAGGGCCGAGGGAGTACTCGCAGTTTGGGTTACCACGCCTTGCGATGGATGTGCGTGAGGGGTGGCACCGAATTTCAGAAATGTGGCAAATCCCCTGTGTTTTTGGACCCTGACCCCGCGGATCTGCGTGAGGGGTGGCACCGAATTTCAGAAATGTGGCAAATCCCCTGTGTTTTTGGACCCTGACCCCGCGGATCTGCGTGAGGGGTGGCACCGAATTTCAGAAATGTGGCAAATCCCTGTGTTTTTGGACCCTGACCCCGCGGATCTGCGTGAGGGGTGGCACCGAATTTCAGAAATGTGGCAAATCCATGTGTTTTTGGACCCTGACCCCGCGGATCTGCGTGAGGGGTGGCACCGAATTTCAGAAATGTGGCAAATCCCTTGTGTTTTTGGACCCTGACCCCGCGGATCTGCGTGAGGGGTGGCACCGAATTTCAGAAATGTGGCAAATCCCTGTGTTTTTGGACCCTGACCCCGCGGATCTGCGTGAGGGGTGGCACCGAATTTCAGAAATGTGGCAAATCACATGTGTTTTTGGACCCTGACCCCGCGGATCTGCGTGAGGGGTGGCACCGAATTTCAGAAATGCGGCAAATCACATGTGTTCTTGGACCCTGACCCCGCGGATCTGCGTGAGGGGTGGCACCGAATTTCAGAAATGCGGCAAATCCCTTGTGTTTTTAGACCCTGACCCCGCGGATCTGCGTGAGGGGTGGCACCGAATTTCAGAAATGTGGCATATCCCTTGTGTTTTTGGACCCTGACCCCGCGGATCTGCGTGAGGGGTGTCGATTTCGAGCTCCCCCAGCAATTCAGACAACGCGCCCAGGGGGAGCTAAAAATCCCGTTTGGGCCTCCCCCCCCCTCGCGCGGTCAATCAACTAGTTACAGTAACCAGCAAGAAGCAGAACTGTAACACTGGAAACTACAACCTACGACTGGTACAGGAAACTGCGAACCTCGCGCCTACAGCCTGGTGGCCCCACAAGGGGGCCGGCGGATATATATATATATATATATATATATATATATATATGGAGCGTGAAAATCAATGGAGCTCCTGTTTTCCATCCGGTAGTAAATCATGGAAGCCCTGTGGGTTCTGGAAGTACGCCAGTCGATGAGAAAGCGCCAGTTTAGCGTCGAATTAGCGTTGATTGGCGTCGGTTGGCGTCGGTTAGCTTCGGTTCGCAAGAGCCTGCCATATGGCATGGGAGGCGCTCATGAGTTGCCACCGAACTTTTTCTCGCCCTGGGAGCTACGCCCGTGCTCTGTGAGGTGCTGGCGCAGCAGCACAACGAGCAGCTGCTCATGCTGCAGCAGGCGGCGCAGCAGCAGAAGTCAGCGCTGGAGCACCAGGCTGCCCTCCAGCCATCCTCGCCACGGCTACCCGTCCCCCCCGAGGTGCAGGAGGAGCAGGATGCAGCGGCCGAGGGGGAGAGTGATTTGGAGGATCTGCCCCTTTCTCGCTGGTCCGCTGGATGTTGCGCTCTTTGTTTTACAGCTTTGAAGTATAGAAGAAAACAGTGCACGAAGAGCCCGGCGGCACAGAAGCGAGGAACGACGGACGAACACAAGTGGCAGTGACAGTGGAGGGAAGGAGGGATTGGGAGGGAGCCCAGTTGCAGAGCGGGGAGGGGAGATTTGGGGGGAGCCAAGTGGCAGTGGCAGAGGAGCCCAGTGGCAGAGGGGAAGAGTGGATGTTTCTGGATCCCCTGGGTTCGGGGAAGTTGTTTTGCCTGTTTGTCCGCCCTCGGGGGCCGTTTTCAGGCCCAGAGCCCATCAGACGTGGCAGATGTTCTGGAGTCGTTGCCAGTTCAGACCCCCCAGCCGCGTTCGATTTGGAGGATCCGCCCCCTTTTGGCTGACTCGCTGGGCACCGCGCAGGCTCATGGTCCTCGAGACCGCACCTGTGCGTTCGCGTTGGCTGACCGCACTCGCGTTAGCTTCGTTGCCACTGCTGGGCCGCAAGCGAAATGCCTCGATGCCCCGCTTCTCTAAACCGCTGTTTATTATTCAACATGATACAGTGATTGCACTGGGCAACGCCGTCGGAGGTCTCCTGGCGGGATCGAAGTTATACGGAGAGCCCCAAGTCTGGAAGTTCGTCTCGGCGCCAAGGTCGTGTCGCGCATGAGGGTGAAGGCCATGATAAGGATGCGGCCACGAGTAGCTGGCGCCTGCGTGGATCAGGATGAGACGCTACCAGGAGGGTCGGGCCTTGATGATTCGGATGCCTGCTGGAAGATGATCATGATCGGGTTCTGGAGCTGTTTGGGGCGAGTGATGTGCTCTCGTCTGTTCCTGGTACGTACACGCCTCGATGACGAGCCTTGCAGTTGGCAGCCGAGCCCTTGTACACAGATGCGTTGATGTGCGTGCTTGAGGCTCACACTGACCTTTGCTCCTTTGCATCTAGGTCCGTTTGGTGGGTTGGCAGGCGAACGCTCTCATCTTGGAGTACCAGCAAAAGAAGACTGCAGAGGAGATCCGTGCCTCCTGCCAGCATCCCGCACTCTGGATCGACGCTTTCTGAGGCCCAATGCCTCTTGTGTGCATTTATTTCCAGACTCGGGCTGCGTCGAGGGTTGGAGAACGCTGCACCGTGTCCAGCCACTTGTTGGCTCGTCGGCGAAGAGATTGCAAGAACCCTCGTGCTCAGGACTGTCCAGCAAAGGCAGCGGACGTCCAGCAACTCCCGAGAAGGACATCATCACAAGCTTGTGTCTCGTAACTCTGCTTTACCTGCAACGTCGAATGGCTTCGAAAGACATGGGAAAGACACGGTACGCGGGGATGATGGCTTGTAGGATTCTCTAGGCCACCCGCGGTTGCGCGAAAAGAGTCGCGATTCGCGCATCGCGGTCTGGGCCAGAGCGGTTGCCCTTCTTCAGGAGGAGCGGCCCACGGGCGCGAGGGCTGATCGCGCGTCGCGCGTCGCTGGCGTTGGCGGGAAATGCGGGCGACACCCACCATCTTCGGGATGTTGGGGTTGGTGTTTTTGGGGTGGCACGCCAGATTCGGCCAGATTCTGAGACACTGGGGCGCAACCAACTCTCCCACTCGTCGTTCAGTGGGCAGGTAGCGGGGTCGAGCGCAAGCTCGGCTCAGCCAGAGTGCCAGATCCCGCAGGATCCTGCACGGCCAGGTTTTGGCTGAGCTTGGTTTGGGAGCCGCCCGCGGCTCTGGCGTGGGCCTTCCATGTCGGCTGAGCTGGGTGTTTGTAAGCCCTCCAGGAAACGCAGCGCTGACCTGTCAAGCAGTGGCGAAAAGTCCTGACGCGCTCATAAGCCCACCAAGATGTGTTCTAAGAACCGATGTTGTAGTGTGCGCAAATATGTTCTTCGAACATGTCTGATTGAAACCGTCTTGTTTTGGTACATCACGTTGATGTTCTAATAACATTGGCCTTTGTATGATAACACTCGTATGCGTAGCATGTCGTGGTAGGCCTGCAGCAAAAACATGCCGGGCCGGTCGGTCCCTGCTCAAATCGTTCTAAATTGGTTTAGCCGGGTTTTCGTTGAGGTGGGTTAGTCCACGCCCGAATTGGCCGTCGGCTTCGAGACTCCATTCACCCGCGCAAATCTTTCCTGTCTGCTTATATCAATGTTTCTTTTGTCTGTTCGAGATTTGCATATCGAGTGTCGGCGACCTGATTTGTTCTTTGGCCACCCGTCTCATTGTATATATATATATACATATATATATATATATATATATATATATATATATGTGTGCTGACATTGCTGGTCAGCGCGGCCCTTCAGACAACCAGTGCAATGCAGTATTCATTATATGCAACTCCTTGCAGGCGGTGCCAGGCTCCCCATGGTATGTCCGACGGCATTGCCCGCAGCTATCGCTAATATCAAACGTTTGAAGGTGTTTGTGGCAAGCACCGTCAGGCCGTGTTTGAACATGCGCGGGGAGCAAGCATATCCATATGTGGAGGGCGTTTGCAGACACATTCATGTGGTATCAGTTGCGAAGTACAGTATGTTAGCATGTATCTTCCACGGGGCAATCACGGCTGATTTCGGCAATCTAGGGTGGGGGGGGGGCTTTGAGGCTTTCAGGACGTATGGAGGCCACGCTTAGTTGGCAGCGATGGCGAACACAGGACAGTTGTTTGGAAGTGCATCTCAGGAGTTGGCAGCGCAGCAGTTCAACTTCCAGAAGCAGCACATGGAAATGCAAGCGCGCTATGCGGAGGAGATGAGGGAGCTACAGGCGCGCGATCGCAGCATTGACCTCCGTTGCGTTGTTCACGATGTGCAGTCAACGTGCATGCTAGCAGGCCAAGAACATCCAGCCATCAGTGGACACCAACACAATCTTGCAACAGGCACATAGCATCCAACCGCCCGCATCTGTTCTTTTGAGGCAGAGTGCATGTCGGCCCAGTCGAGATGCAACCACGTATCGCGGGAGAGGTGTTGAGGGCAGACCGAGTTGGCGGGACGGCTTCATCGTTACCCAGCTGCAGTTTTGCACGAATTCCTCGAGGCACAGGCATCGTCGCACGAGCTTGTGTGTACGCATGCGGCACTGCGTACGGCCGCATCCTCCAAAGCACAAGATGGTCGCCAGCCACCGTTGACTGAATTTCGGTGGGACCTGCTAGCCCTCAGAGCCAGGGAGATCGCCGAGGAAGGTCATCGACGTCGGGGAGCTCCCACAGCCCGGGCGAAGGGAGCTGCACCGATCCCGGCCTGGCCCATCTTTGGGACCGCTGTCATGGCGAGATAAGACTTCCAATGGTGAATTAGGAGCCAATGCACTACGCAGACAAACTACGCTTCTGGGGTGCTCCAGGGATGCTCCTGGATGCTCCCTGGGCGCTCCTGCGAGTGTGCAGCGTGAGGGCGCTGCGCAAATACACGACGTAAATGCACTACGCAAGTGCACTGCGTAAGTGAACTACGTAAATCGCATGGGGGCGCAATACGCACATCGATCGATCACGAAGATACACGACGTGCCACAAAAGCACAGCGTACACACATTGCAAACATACATTACGTTTCTGGGACTGTCTCTCAAGGCTCCTGGGGTGCTCCTAGGATGGCCCTGGGGTTCTCCTAAGATGCTCCTCGGTTGCTCCAAAGATGCCCCTGGGGTGCTTTTGGGGCGCTCATGCGAATGCGCAGCGTCCGGGTGCTGCGCAAATTCAGTACGTAAACACATTGCGCAGGTGCATGGCGTAAATCGCATGGGAGTGTGGAATAGAAAACCACAGAAATTCACCTCGCAAATACACTATTGACACGCAGCGCGTAAACACGCAACGTAAATACACCACGCTCCTGGGTGGGATTCGCCCGGAAGGCTCCTGGGATGTTCCGGGGGTGTCCTTGGGATGTTCTTGGGATGCATTTCGGGTGCTCTGAGGATACATCTCGGGTGCTCCCAGGTTCCTACGATGTTTCGGTGGTGTTTCTAGGATGCTTCCGGGATGATCATAAGATCGATGCTCTTATGGTGATATTGGGGTGCTTCTGCAAATGCGCAGTGTGAGGAGCTGCGCCCATACACTACCTAGATACAATACATAAAATGCATGCTGTAGATGCATTACGTAGATCGCATGGGGTGCGTGGGTGGGACTGACACTACGTAGTTTCACGATGTGAACCCACTACTGTCAAAGCAATATGTCGCTTGGTGCCAGGCGGGTTTTAGATTACATGTTGTTTGATGCTTCTTTCCATTGCCATTCTTGCTCACCTATTTAGATCTGGGTTCTGATCACCGTGCGGTGCACGGGACGATCAACCTAGGCTCAAGTTGTCGGCGCCAGAAGAGCCGCCAGCTCGATGCAATTAGATGGGAACCTTCGTTCAGCGCCGAAGGCCGCGATTTGTCATATGAGAGCGTTGTGCAGGAATCTCTCTCTCAATCTAGGCCGTCCTCACTCTTTGCACTGGAGGACCACGTTGCTGCCGCAGCCAAGCGGGCTGGAGCGCAAAGTGACGCAACTCGCTCGCATGCGAAGCCATGGGATGCACCTGAGTTACGAGAGATGCGTCAACAGCGACGCGAAGCACGTGACCCACAGGAACAGTCCAGATTGTCCAAGCAGATTTTTCGAGAGCACCAGAAACGCACGCGGGAGTATTGCGATGCGCGTGCTGAGTCACAATTGTTGTTTTTAAGGCTTCGGTCGAGCAGATTTTTGCTACGGACAACGGCGCTGCCAGGAACGACTGGGCCGAAGCGCATTGCAACAGAGGTTCGTACAACATCCCACCGTTTTGCATGGACGCGTTGCGGCAAGCTTTTAAGCGCATGAAGCGCGGGAGGTGCGCAGATAAACGCGGCATCACTCTCGAAGTGTTCGTTTGTGGAGGCGATGCTCTTCACAGGCAACTTTGGTCGTGTTTGAATTCCTTGCTCAGCACAGGATGCATCGATCCCACCTGGCAGGAAACGTGTTTTGTCATGCTGCCGAAGACGGGGAGCAGAACTGATGTAAACAACTGACGCATCATATATAAGACAGTTGCACGGTTACTGTTTGCACGCTTGCGTCCGGCCGGCGTCAGACGCCGAGGGCGGCCACGTTTAACATGGACAGACGCCGTCGATTCATTTCTGCGACAAGAGCACGGAACAAATATATTTAGTGTGGTTCGCAGCCAGGAGCCGTTCCGTTGGCAGCGGGTAGAACAGCATTTTCCAGATTTCATGAAGAGTGACTGATGTATATCATGTGTAATTTAACGATGCCCTGTCCACTTGTATTCTCTTGCATGCGCGCTTTGTTGCCGTAGTGTCTCACGCCCTCCGGCTCCGCTTGCGGAGCGAGGTGCCTCCATAGGCCTCTCGACCGGACTTGACTTGACTACGAAAGAAACATTACGTACATACGTTCATGTCCTGAGACTATCCGGGAAGGCTCTTGGGATGATCCAGGGATGTTTCTGGGGCGTTCTTGCGAATGCGCTACGTGAGGACGCTTAGCAACTACACGACGCAAGTGCACGACGCTACTGGGATATTCCTGAGATGTTCATGGGAAGCTCCCTGCTCTCCTGCGAATCCACTACTTGCGGACGCTGCACAAATACACCGCGTAAGGGGTGGGAAACACTACGTACATTCACAGCGAATATGCACTACGTTGAAATACTGCCTGAATGCACAACGCTCCTGGGATTGGTCCCGGGCGCTCCATGGATGCTCCCGCGGTGCTCCTAGGATGTCTCTGAGATGTTCACTGGGTGCTCTGAGGATGCTCCTTGGGTGCTCCTGGGGTGCATGCTCCCGTGGTGTTCCTAGGATGCGCCCTGGATGCTCCAAGGGTGCTCTTGGGAAGCTCCCTGCGCTCTTCCGCGGAAGCGCAGCGTGAGGACGCTGCGCAAATACATCACGCACATACACTACGTATACCCATTAGGTAAATCGCATGGGGGACGGAATGCGTAAACTACTTACGTAAATGCAGCCATGGTGCAACACAGTGCACTCCGGGGATTATCCCGGAAGGCTCCCAGGATACTTTTGGGGTGTTCTTAAGGTGTTTGTTTGATGTTTCTGGGGTTCTCTGAGGATGCTCTTGGGATGATCCTGAGGTGGTCCTAGGATGCTCCTCGGGTGTTCAAAAGATGTTCCTGGGATGTCCCTGGGGCGCTCATGCGAATGCGCAGGGTGTGGACTGGACGCTGCGCAAATACGTTACCTAAGTAAACTACGCAAATACACTGCGTAAGTCAACAACGTAACTCACATGTTGGGTATAATCGACACTTTGCACATCCACTTACGTTAAGCCCCTACATCAATCAACATGGCAAAATACTCTGTCGATGGCTTTATGTAGGTTCGCTGCGATGTTGGAATTCTCCGGGAAGGTTCCTAGGATGTTTCAGTTATGTGCCTGGGGCGTTCTTTCGGATGCGGTACGTGAGGATGTTCCGCGAATGAACTACGTAAATGCACTTCGCAAATGCACTACGCTCCTGGGATGCTCCAGGGGTGTTTCTGGGAAGCTCCCTGGGCCCGCCTGCGAATGCACTGCGTGAGGACGCTGCGCAGACACACCACGTAAATATTCGAGCAACAGCGCTATGCTTTTTTGTGTTAGTAAGTAGATCCCATCGGGGGCGAACGCCCTGCTGGCGAGATCCGCGGAGCGCAAGCTGCCGGGCGGCCGAGTGGGGTCGTGCCGGGGAGGGGAGAGGCCCGTCCACCACCGCCACGAGGTCGTCCACCGATGGGAAAAAGGAAGGGACGAGGAGGAGGAGGAGGAGGAGGAGGAGGAGCAGGACGAGAAGGAGGAGGAAGAGCAGTAGGAGGAGGAACAGCGCTGCGCCTCTCATGCACAACTGCAACGAGTGAGTACTGTTTTGCCGATGTCTTCCACGCAGGCGCCTCGGCGCTCCCTCCGCGGCTCCTGCACGGCGCCGCGCGCGCGGAACCGAGTCCGACCGAGTCCGAGTCCGAGACCCCATCCTCCTCCTCCTCCGCCTCCGCCTCCGCCTCCTCCTCCTCCTCCTCGTCCTCCTCCCGGCGGCGCCGCGTCCTCATCCTCAGCGAGAGCTCCGAAGACCGAGATCTCGTCCAGCATGGACCCGCGGTGGCGGCAGCTCCCGGCCACCTCGGCGGGCGCACGAGGGCCCTGGTCGCGCCCGCGGCCGCCCCTGGTTTACACAGAATTTTCATCCAGTACTTCAATGCCCGACGTGAAAACGGCACATTACGTCGAAACAGGTTCGTTCACACACCGCTCTCGGGATTCTCCCTGAAGGCTCCTGGGATGCTCCTGGGAGCTCATCGGATGCTCCTGGGGTGCTCCTGGGGTGCTCTGAGGGTGCTCCTGGGATGCTCCTCGGGTGCTCCAATGATGGTCGTATGATGCTCCTAGGATGCTCCTGGGATGCTCCTGACGGGTTCCTGCGGATGAGGACGCTGCGCAAATACATTGCGTAAATAGGTTACGCAAATACATCAAGTTAGGCAGACTACGTGAAGCACACGACGTAACCACACTGAACAGAAACACTATTCGTAAACAGGCTACGTCAAGCACATTACGTATTCGATATGTACATAAAAGCACAAGGTTGCTTCACGTGGTGTTTTTAGAGAAGTGTTTTTTTTAACCCTTCGCATCAAGTCTCCATCCTGGGCCCAGGGTGGGTGTGAATCTGCCTGCCTGACAAGGTCAAGAGGGCATATGCACCGTTCCTGGGCCCAGGAAGGGCCTGGCCAGGACTGGTGATGTGTACAGCTCTCTGTCTTTCCTGATTGGGCGGGGTGTAACTGCTTTCGGCCCTTCCTTTGTCGGCGGCGCGCCGAGGGGGGAAGTGAAAAGGGGCAAGCCCTCTCAGAAGGTGGCGGGGCTACCCACAGGCCTCCCTGCCTTCTGGCAGGCTCCCCGTGTCTTCGGAGCAGGCACAGAGAGCTCCTCAGAAGTCCGGAGGCCTTCCGAGACAGCCCGCCACCTGTGTTTTCCCCTCTGGGCGCGCCCCCGATGACAACAAGGCTGTCTTCGGTCCGCAGATTCTCCTCCTCCTCCTCCTTTTCCTCCTCCTCCTCCTCCTCCTCCTCCTCCTCCTCCTCCTCGTGTCTTTTTCAGTGCGGGGCCCCCGAAGTCTCGACCCAGGTCCTGGGGACCGGCTTCCTGCGCCGAGTGGTCCTCTGCCGGTCCCAGGGCCTGGCGAGGGCCTCCAGAGGCAGCTCCTCCTCCTCCCTCCTCCTCCTCCCTCCCTCCTCCTCCTCCTCCTCCTCCTCCTCCCTCCTCCTCCTCCTCCCTCCTCCTCCTTCCTCCTCCTCCTCCTCCCTCCTCCTCTCCTCCTCCTCCTCCTCCTCCTCCTCCTCCTCCTCCTCCTCCTCCTCCTCCTCCTCCCCCTCCTCCCCCTCCTCCCCCTCCTCCCCCTCCGAGACGGGGATCGGCGGACAACGATGCGCAGAAAGGGGGCGGGGCGGGGCGGCTCCTCCCCCCGCGGCCGAGCGGACGAAGGATCTCCGTCCCGAGTTTTGTCACCGTGTTGGGTCTCGGGGGGCCCTCCTCTTGCCATGGGCGGATGAGCAGCACCCAGACCTGTGCGGCCCCCAGGTCTCTCCGGGGGGGGTCCCTGGGGCGGGCCGCGGGCGCGTGTTGTCGGAGAGGGCCCCCCGCTCGAGAGGAAGGCCCCCCCTTCTCCCTGCAGGCTGGTGCGAGTGTGGTTCATGTGTCATCTTGGGTGACGAACGAACAACACACACCCATACCCATAGGGAGGTCGTTGGGAGGAGGACTGGCTATGGGTATGGGTGCGGGTTGTCGGACCCTGGGGAACGCTCCCGTTCGAGCGGGGACCCCCATCCGACAACACGCACCCATAGCCCTCTCCGATCCCTCTATGGGTATGGGTGTGTGTTGTTGGCTCGTCATCTGGGGCCCTCTCCTCCTCCTCTTGGCCGGCTGGCGAGGTGCAGCAGATGGCGGCGGCCAGCCAGGTGGCAGCGCAGCAGGCCGCCATAGCGCAGGAGGCGGCGGCCGCCGAGCGGCAGGCCCTCGGCCGACCTGCCCGCCCCCGCTCTCCAGAGCAGGTCGGGGCCAGAAGCAGATCCTCTGTGTGAGGTTACAGTCGAGGCGTTGACCTAAGGAACCCTAAATAAGGAACGAGGCCCCTTTTCCCATATAGTAAACTCCGATTTTCCATGGAAAACCTCAGGAAAACCCAAGGAGCACTGTAAAGCAACTAAGGAACACGGAGCCCCTCCCCAACAAAAAGGGTTCCTTCTTCAGGGCCCCGACTGTATGCCCAGTATCGTTCAGCCGATCCCCATCCCCATCCCCATCCCCATCCCCTTCGAGACGCCCACTCAATTGACACCACAGTTGGGGATGCACCCCTCGAAACCCGAAAGGAACGGCCTATATCCCCATCAGGGGGGCAAATTGGCCAGTGGGGCCCAGGCCACCCTGGTGGGGATGGGGATCGGATAATGCTTGTCCACCACTTAGTGGCCAATGGCGGCCCAAGCGCAGCGCATGTTTGTTTCGGCATCTGTCGCCCGGAGAACCGGCCAGACATTCGATACAAGATGCATTGTCCTGTGGCGTTTCTGCGAAGCCCCATGGGACAGGGCCCAGATACCTGAGTGTACACGCGCGGTTCCCAGTATTGGAAGAATCGGTGTGGACTTTGTTGGTCATTTTCGGCCGGTTCGGTTCGTGGAGCAATTTCGTCTGTTCTTGGAGGTTTTTTTGCCCCCGGATTCGTTTCAGCAGCGGCGCCTCGCCCATAGTTTTCTTGGGATGCCAGGAGCGTCTGGAACGGCCGACGCTGATCCGAGGTATGACCCGAATACCAGCAGATTTCATATTGATTCAAAACCATCAGACTCGATTGGCTGCTCCCACGACCTCCACCGTATTTGAAGAATCAAAGTGGAGTTTGGCAGTAAATCTCTGGAGGCCTTGTATGTCCTCTGGATTCAGTCTATAGGGTGCACTGGCGTGCACTGGCGTCTGGTTAACGATGGGAAGGCACAGATCTTGCGCTGATCAGCGTCGATGTAGCATCGATTAGCGTTGATCAGTATCGGTTATCGTCGGTTAGAGTCGATTCGCAAGAGCCAGCCACATGGCATGGAAAGCTCCCGTGTGTCCCAACGGAAGTCTCTTTCGGCCACTGGGGGCCCTGGGATGCATCGCGAACGCGAATTTGGCGTACGTTTTGAGGAAGTTTGGACTCGGGAGCTCGACTCCGGCGTCATTTACAACGGGGTTGGGCCCTGGGAGCGCGACCCTGGCAAACTTTACAAGGGATTATGGCCTCGGGAGCGCGAATCTGGCGAATGTGGAACAGATTCTAGTTTCGTGAGCGCGACTCCGGTTTAATTTTCCAAGGGTTCTGGCCTCAGGGGCGCGATCCTGATGTGATGTGCAATGGCCTTTGGCCTCGGTTGCGCGAAGTTGGTAGGGTTCTGGTTTCGGGAACGTGGAACTTGCTTTATTTGCAAAGGATCATTGTCGCAGGGACACCTCACGCATTTCTACGTGCCCCAGACCCAGACCCACCAGAAACGCAGGCAACGCGATTCGGGCACGGTATCCGGTTCCTTGTTGGCTCGCCCCCCCTCGCGCGGACAGTAAGAATTTACAAGACGAAGCATGCAGTACTATAACAGGCTGGAAACCGATACTGGCTTTGAAAGCAGGACACCTCCGCCACGCAGCCCGTTGGCACCACAAGGTGGCTGGCGGATTCAGGCACCATGCCCGTGACTCTGAGGAATCACGCTCTCGCTCTGGACTTCCTCACGACTTACTTCAAGAACGCGTTTATCGTTGAACAGTTCTTGGCGATTCATGAAGGACTGACGCTTCAGCGACCCGCCCGCTCGACCCATCCGTCTGGGTCCGCCCGTCCGACCCGCCCATTAGGGTCCCCCCGCCATGCATTTCCGAGAAGGGCCCGAAAGTCCCACTCTGCCCAGGAGCGTGCAGAGTCGCTATCGGACGTCTATCACCGATCCATGGGCGATACAGGCGGCCCGGATTAGTAGGTCGACCCTGCCAGATCAAGGGTACCCTCGTGTCCTGTGTTTTGCGACCCATGCCTCCTGCATTTCTGTGGCAACGTGTCCCTCGGAAGGGTCTTGTGTCCTCTTGCGTGTTCCCTCCAATCAAGTCCGGCGATACATCGCCGATTCCGGGTTGATGGTTCCCCCCCCCACCACCACCACCCCGGAGGCGGTCCTCGCCTGCCCATCGCTGCCCCTCGAGCTTCTGGCAAGCTTGCGAGGGCATGCCGCAGGGGTCCGAGCACTGCTGAAAGTTTCCTCGTCGTCGGCCCGCGTCGCCGCCCGCCGTCGCTCCGCCGCCCACGTGGCCCGACTTCCCTCTGCGACCATCATGGCCAACCAGGGGCGCGAGTGCACCCGGCGCGCCCGTGCGCGATTGTGCTCGACTGTGTGTTCGCGCGTGCTCGGATGCTCGAGCGCGAGAGCGGTCGCTTGAAGCCTGGATGCAGCTCGGCTGGTGCATCCCGTCAGTTACAGACCAGCCGGTGATTCGTCGTTGCAGTGGAGGTCTGCGATCGATTTCGAGCACTACCCTTCGTGGTCCAATCGACGCTGGGGCATTGGGACCCCCCGCTGGGGTGTATCTGGCTGCAGAGATCCTCCAGAGCATGAACCCCAGCTGGCTTTTCATGCATCCGATCCGTACGGGTAGGGATCACATGTGGTCGCTCAGGGGGAGTCATTGTGCAGGGGTGCTCGCGCACGCTGCTCGCGCGCGCCTCGAACCCGCGGCGAGGCGCAGTCGATGGCCCACCACCACTCCACCGCCATGCTGCACGGCGCCCGCGGCGGGGTGCCCTTTGCGGTGCCCATGGTGGTTGGGCCGCCGCCGGTTTTAGCGTGCGCGGGCCATTCCAGGATTGGCGGACATCGGGAGGGTGGAGGGGAAGGAGTGTGGCGGACATGGGGAGGGTGGAGGGGGGCTCCTCCTCTCTCCTGCTCTTTTCAGCTGGCCGTCCCCCCACTGTGCGATAGGAATGGGAGTCATGTTCCTGTCATTTGCAATGCTGCGTGGTCCTTAGTATGCTGTGTGTGAAGCTTTTGCCTGCTGGCTGTGTGTGAGGCTTTGGCATGTCGCTGTTCGTTCGGACCGCTGGGCATGCGCTGACTTCGCCGGTGTCTGTGTTCCGTCGCCGTCTTTACTCCTCGTTTCTCCTCCTCCTCCCCCTCCGTAGCCATTTTGGCTCAAGATGATTTCGCCCCGTGGCAGAGCACGGAGACCCTTGGTCCAGGGACAGTTAAGGACCCAATTTCCCATCCACGGCGTCCAGCTGCCCTGCTGGTTGAGCTTCATATTCGGCGCTGCATCCGCCTGCAGTAGCCTAAACGCGCGATCGCCCGAGGCTGGCGCGGGCCTCAGTGTGTGCCCATGGGAACGCACGCGCCTGCGTCAGCAGCAGGACCAGTGGGTCTCCTTCCCCACGGACAAGACCGCGACTGGGGCAAACGTCAGCAAGACCCATGGCATGACGGAGCTACGAAGCTCGTTGTGCATGACCTACCCGATCACGTTCGAAAGCAGCTCGAGGAGAACATGGCCGCCCATTTCAAAGATACCTCTGACAAGTTTGAAGCCACAGCCAGAGCTGTCACCGCCCAGGCCAGGACGGAATTCCTCGCCAACATCACCCAGATCACCGCAGAGCTCAGCAAACGCCACGAAGCCACATAACGTTCCATCACCGCCGTCCATGAGCGCACCAACATCCTCGAGCAGCAGAACATCGATCTGAAAGCCGCCGTTGCCAAGCTGGAAGCTATCGTCTCCGCAGCCGAAGCCAGATCACCCGCGCTCCACCTGGACGGCCGGGGCACCTGGGACCGCGAGCCTGACCCCACCACGCTCTGGCGCAGCAGTCAGTAAGAATTCTGTCAACCCGATCTCGAATGCGCCCCAGGAATGGTTCGAGAAAGCAGAGATCAACAAGAGCATGGTCATCTTCAACACTGTCGACCCCGCCAAGCGCCACTCGTTCCAGGTCAATGGAGGCACCGCGGTCGTGGAGCCTCGCGCACAGCGTCTTCACAGTGCTCTATGCAATGCGAAACAGTGGAGAACCTTTTCTCTCGGCCTGACTCGTGGTGCGCGCGTTCCTCTGCATATGTGCCTGCCGACAAAATGCTCGAAGGCCGCGCGCGCAGAAGTCCAGGTCAAGCGCCTCGCCAAGATCATGCAGAATGCGAAGCCAGAAGTCGATCTACGACCCTGCCGAACACTGGGCTACGTGGCGAACCGTTGTGGCGCTTTGGTGCGTCTTGTTCTTGGTGGCAGCGCTGGCACTCCCACTAAGCTCCAGTGGTCTCGCGCAGCAGCCGACCGTGGCTTCGACGACGCCCTCCAGCAGAGTATCACGGCCGGGTGCGAGTCCAACTTCGCAGACGCCCTCTCGGCCGCGCAGTGGCTTCAGCCTTCGCGGGGGCCCGCGGCTCCTGCCACCCTCGCAAGAAGGCCTCAACATCGCCTTCTGGAAAACGCGAGCTCTACTTGGTCAATCTGATCAACGGCGCGCTGACAAACGTCGCTTGCTCCTGCCGTACTTCCGTCAACGTGCAACCATTGCAGTACAAGAGACACATGGTTCTATCGACGATCTCACCATCCTTGCCAACTCCACGCAGCACAGGTACACGCCATACCTCCCCCCGATGATCAGCGACGGCATCCCCGTCGCCGACGCTGGCGGCGTCGGCTCCCTGGTTCCGTTCGTCAAGCAAGAACGACATCTTCCGCCAGAACTCACCCCCCCCCGCGCCAGGCTTGAGGGCATTATCCTTGGCCGCGCCGCCTGGCTCCGAGTCGCGGATGCCAGCCTCCAGTTCGAAGCCGCCGTCCTCAACATCCACAACTTTGGCTTCGCTCTTGCTGACCGACTGCGTCGTCGCGACCAGCGGCAAGCTCTACGGCAACATGTTCGCGAGCAACCTCAACACCGTCTTGTCGTCATAGTGGGTGACTTCAAAGTCTCTGAGCCCCCGCCGAAGTCGACCAACTCGACAGGTCTGCGCTCGCGTCCGTCGCGAAGCGGCGCCCCATCAGTGCAGCCACGCAGGTTGCCGCTGCGCGCGCGCGACGCCCGGCCCAACGTTCCCGCGGCTGAGCTACAGTTGCAGTCTGCTTCTGTTTCGCGCGAGGCCCGCGCCATGCCCCCGAGCAGCATCGCTAAAGCCGCCTGGCGCCAAAATGTCAAGCTTGCGAAGACTTCCACCGATAACGCCAACATCGGCCAGTTCCGTCTCAAGATCGCCGAGGGCACCGTCAGCATCAACGACATGCGCGACCGACACCACGCACGCCAGCCTCAGTGACGAGAGGAAGGCTCTTGCGTCAGCTCGTTCGAGAGCAGCCCGCGCAGCCAACGGCATTCCCCTTGGCCAGAAATGGCGCCAGCGTGCCACACGTGAAGGTCTTCGCGGAGAACTGCGGCAAAAAGATTGCCGTTGGCAGCGCGACTAAAACGGTAACCGACTTTGCAGCCATGCACCAGGCGATCATGCTGCACGGGGCCTCCGTTTTTGCAGAGACTCACGTGGGCCACATTCGCCTCTCCGAGTGCATCAACTCTTCCCTCGGCGCCAGCTTGCCGATCTCCCCCTTCCTGATGCGCGAGCGCTGGAAAACGCCGCTAGGCTCGTTGGAGACTCCGCTCCTGGCCCCGACGCTCTTCCATGCAAGGCGTGGCTGTGCGCGCCCAACAGCTTCGATATCCTCGCCGACGTCTGCCATGACATCGCCGCCAACAGCAATGCCCCACGCGACCTCAACTACGCTCTCATGGCCATCTTGCCGAAGGGCGACGAACCGCTTTGCAGCGCTGAGTGCGCGCGTACTCCCGAGTTCCTCCGTCCGCTATCAACGAAGAGTTCGGATGTGAAGTTGCTGGCGTCCGCCGCGAATCGCGAGCTCCACGTCCTCGCCGCCCAGACGACGCCCGAGCGGCAGGGCTTCGTCAATGGCCGCGTGTTCTTGAACAACGTTGTCGTGGTGGACGTTGCCGCCAGAACTCAGTCTATCACCCTCAGCACCAATAGACATGCCCGTCTTCGTCAGCATGGATTTCGCGGCCGCCTTCCCGAGCCCCGGCCACCAGTGGATGCGGGGCACGCTCTCGCGCTGGGGCCTCCACGGAAACATGATGCGCCCCATCCAGGCCAGCTGCCACTGGCTCGCCCCGTTCCTGGATATGGGAGGCGAGCGGCGCCCGCTGGTCATCGCAGCCTCGGGCGCTGCCCAAGGCTGCCCATTGAGCGGCGCCATCTGGGCCCTCGTCCTCGACCCCACCATCGCCGCCATCAGCTCCGAGCTCAAGGCCATTGAGCGCGACCTCGTCAGCGCCTGCGCCGACGACCTGTTCGCCACCCTCGCCAGACTCCGCGACATCAACTCGGTCGCACCGCGCACGATCGCGGCCGAGACGCTTGCTGGATGACAACTTCAAGCCAAGAGGTGCGTAGCCGCCCCCGCATGGGCACTGCCTTCCCCAGACAATGGCGTGGCCTCGCAGTCAAGTGGTGGGACCGCGCCGAAAAGCTCGCTGCGTCGCATGCCCCGGCCCAGCAATGCACCAAGCTCTACAACGTCGCCGCGGTCACCTGCCTGGGGCACGTCGGCCAGCTCTTCGAGACTCCCGAGGGCACCCTCCAGAAAGAGCTGCAGGCCATCCACAAGCTGCTGCGCGTCGCCCCCATCCAGCTTCGCCAAGTCCGACATCCTTGCGACGTCCCTTTGGACCAACGTGGAAGTACCCATCGGCACCGAGAACTACCATGCAGCCACCCTCTGGAGAGGCGCGGCTACCACCGTGGCAGCGCGGAGGAGCGCGCATAGGGAGCTATGAGACGAAGCCTACAAGCAGCTGCCCCTCGTCTCTGTAGCGGAGGGACAATGGTGCAATGACTGCCGGGGAGTCAAGACCGCCATTGCCCGGCGCTTCGAGGGCATCACCATTTCAACGTACTTCGTGGACAGCACAGGTTCTGGTCCTAAGCGTTTGACTCGCACGGCTGGTTCTCTCCCTCGAGCTCGTGCTGCAATCATTGGCCTTCGCAAGCGAGCTGCGCGTGTGGGCCTGCAATCCATTAATCTACGGCATCAAGCCCAGCAGCAACAACAACGCCCTGATCGACCTCTCCGCCGCAAGCCTGCCAAGATCACGCCCCAGGAAGCCTACATGACGAAGCTGAAGAGCAGCTCTGCTCGGACACGATGCCTGACACCATCAAGCGCCGTCTCCTCGCCTGGCTCCCCGTGCTGGATCAAGCCAAGCAGTTGACCCGCGAGCCGCCGAACGGCCCTCGTCGTGAAGCTGGGCATGCACAAGAGCGACTTCTAGCGCGTGCTCGAGTGTGGGCGGCCCATTGGCTTCCTGATTCACTGCTACGTGACAGAAGCACCGACAACCGCGATGGCTGGTTCCAATGGTGCTCCTGGTACTTGTACGATCTGCACAACACCGACCTGTCCGCCCCCCTGTACTCTGCGGACGCGCAGCGCCGCCGCCTAGCCGTCGCCATGTGCGAGCAGACGTGGGACAACTCTGGCATCGGCCGCATTCTTCTCGAGCGTCGCCTCACGAGAGTGACCAACAACGAGGCGGTCCAGCGCAGTCAGGCCGCACTGTCCGCAGATGGAGCTGCTCAGCATTGTGCTCGCCGTCGCATCGCATCGACATCCACGAGGGCAACTACGACGAGTACAACTTGGACATCGATTCATCTCCAGATGAAGTACCTGAGCCCGCTGACTTGCTTCAAATACAGCGTGTCCCTGAGGACCTACTAGCGCGCTGGAAGCGGTTGCGCATTTACCTCGCAACACTACCCCCAGCGAAACTGCCGGCTGCACTGAAGGCGCTCACGGGTGCCTGGACTGTCAGCTACCGAGCTCACGTCATCCAGGACAAGCGCCCCTGCCACTTCGGGTGCACGCGCTCGAGTAGCCATGACAGCATCCAACACCACCTCGTGTGCGAGAGAGTGTTGCACCAGCTGGGCTTACCTCGTGGCCAGCTGAGCGGCGACCTCCTTACGCGCATGGCGCTGCCCGGCCTGGACAAGCCCTTCGACGGCGAGAACGGCATCCCCAATTCAGTCGCGCGCCTCAGCGTGGCCACCAGGGCATACCACCGCACGGAGGACGACGCGCAGCCCATGAACTAAAACAAGCAGACCACCGCCATCGCCGCCGCTCGCCGCGCTCTCCATCTTCCCGCTGATCTGACGGGGGGAGCAGGCGCGCCGCGGCGCGGCTGATCGAATTATCGCCCTCCCAGGCGACATTCGCTCCTCCTCCTCCTCCTCCTCCTCCTCCTCCTCCTCCTCCTCCTCCTCTTCCTCTTGGCTGGCATTTCGAATGCTCATTTTGTAACATCGGCCTTCGCCCCTCTCGAGCGCGGCTGCGGATCTGCATCGCCTCACCGCGATATCGTTTCGCTCGGCTCGCGATGCGAACTGCACGTGCGCGAGCTAGCTTCAAGAAGGGAAAAAACACACAGACACAATTCATCGCTGTTTTCCATGAGAATATGGGAACATATCGGCATTTGGGGGGAGACAAGCAAGAACACCATAACATATTGGAACACCTGGGGAATCCTGTTCGTTGTGTCTATTTACTTGCGTGTCCCAGGGGCCCTTCGTACATCCTTGCTGATTTTGCTGAGACAAAAGCATGGGGAACGGTGAGGCTTGGCTCAGGGGGCACGTCAGGGGAGGAACAGGCTCAGGGAGAGAGGCATCGATCCACAATCGCCCATTCGTCGCCGACATGGCTTCGATAGCCCACCCCGCCCAGGAAGGTTCGGCTCTGTTATCGGGGGCATAGTGATTGCCGAACCATCGGCGATGTGTCGCCGATTCCCCCCACGAACCAGTCCTTCAAGGGCGGGGGGAGACCCTGGCGCGGGGAAGGAATGCCAGGTCACACCAGCGCAAGAGGGCGTCGGGCCGACATTTGCCGACGAGGGGGGGGAGGGGGTGGGAAGAGGAGGTCGCCTCTCTGAGCAGGTGGCAGAAAGCAGAGAGGTGCAACAGAAAGGCGTTCGAAGTCCCGGAGCACTTGTGCTGGAGCAGAGCCATTCGTCTGGTTGTCGCGTGTACATCGTAGGCCCTCTGGTGCGCATGGTCCTGCAGGGAGAGGGGGGCGACGGAGAGAGATCAGGTGCAGGCGCGGGATCGGGGGCGAAAAAGTGCGGGAGTTGGGAGCCGGCGGGGGGAAGGCGTCGGATCGGCGGACGGCAAGTTTAGGGAGGAAAATGGGGAGAGCGGTGAAGGCGTGCAGGACGATGAGGAAGAGGAGGAGGACTGCGTGGGAGGATGGCGAAGTGGGGGTGGGTGAGAGGGTGAAGAGGAGGAGGCGGAGGGAGGAAAAGGAGGAGGAGAAGGAGGAGGAGGAGGAGGAAAAAGGAGGAGGAGGAAAGGAAAAGGAGGAGGAGGAGGAGGAGAGGAGGAGGAGATGGAGGAGGAGGAGGAATGGGAGGAGGAGGAGAGGAGGAGGAGGAGGAGGAGAGAGGAGGAGGAGGAGGAGGAGGAGAGGAGGAGGGGGGGGAGGAGGACGAGGATGAGGAGGATACTCAGGAGGAAGAGGAGGAGGAGGAGGAGGAGGCGGAGGAGGAGGAGGAGGAGGAGGATGAGGGATGGGGGGGGGGAGGAGGACGAAAGGGGGCCGACGAGGAAGAGGACGAGGAGGAGGATGGGGAGTGCAGGAGACTGTGCCAGGAGGAGTTGGGAGATGAAAAGGGCCCGTGGCTGGGCTCGGCGTGCCCGCTCGCGCTTGCATCAGGTCGGGCCTGTCCCCCTACAGGCGGATGTGGACGAACAAATGCTTTAAAACAAATAAAAAATACCCCCAAATGGTCAAACAATGCTGAACAAATCGTCCCCAGATATTTTCCTAAAACTATTTTTGAATATTCTTCCCTCTGTAGAGAGACAGGCCCGACTTAACACTTGCAAGGGCCAGGTGGATCGGGAGGGGGGGCATGGGGGGACGTGGAGGAGGACACGGGTCAGGCGATCGCAAACATGGATTAAGGGGGCGTGGATTAGCGACGGGTCCCGTTTCCATGGGGAGTCGCGGATTTTCGCCGCCGAACGGGGCGGCACTGGCCGCATTTTGGGGAGGGCATCTCTCCCGATCCATGGATTTGGCGACCGCGCGCCAAATCCATGAATCGCTAATCCATGTTTGCGCGCCTCCGAGGGGAGGAGAGGGCGGATGAATACAGGGAACGGGGTGGGTGAGGAGGAGGACGAGGGGGACACAGCATGGCAGGGGAGTGGTGTTTGAGATGTCGATGTGGAGTGGGAAGGCGGGGCAGGACGCAGAGGAGCAGGAAGGTGAATCAACAGCCGTGAGTCAGTCAGCAGGGAGGAGGAGGAGGAGGAGGAGGAGGAGGAGGAGGAGGAGGAGGAGAAGGAAGAGGAGGACCAGCGCAAATCCAAGAGGCATCAACGATGTTACAATGACCCCGCCCTTCAAATCCCCCCATCACTGGCCCCTACAAGAAGTTGTGTTGATTGCGGGATGTGTACCGTTGGAAGGCAAAGGAAGACAACCGGTTGAAAACCCTCGCCCAAGTCAAAACACCATCCCTGGGATTGGACGCCGCGGATACATGTGACTGTTGCGACCTGCCAATCTTAAGTTGTGCCTGAACGCCGTTTTCCAGAATTCAACTCCTCGCATCAATGTGGCTGTCACGTCCTGACGCTCTTGAATCGTGCCAGAACATGGTTCGTGGGATTTCGACCATACGAATCCGTAGAACTGCTGCAGACGTCTCACGCGAGTGGGCTGGAGTTTTTGGCGAGAGCCGAATTGGGGAACGGGCCTGTCCTCCACTCTTCAAACTGTTGCAAAATTGAGGCGCTGAGGCACGAGCCCCAATTTGAACATGGCCCACCCTCCACCCTTGGAGTTGCTGATCACTTTTACGACGCATGTGCGCGGCACCAGCAACAGGAGGACGAGGAGGAGGAGGATAAATAATGAAGGAGGAGGAGGAGGAGGAGGAGGAGGAGGAAGAGGAAAATTATATAGCAATAGCAGGAGAGGGCGAGGAAGGACGGAGGAGGAGGAGGAGGAGGCGGAAAAAGGAGGAGGAGGAGGAGGTTGAGAACGAGGATGGATATAGGAACAGGAAAGGGAGGAGGATCCCGAGGAGGAGGAGGAGGCGTAGGAGGAGGAGGAGGAGGAGGAGGAGGAGGAGGAGGAGGAGGAGGAGGAGGAGGCGTAGGAGGAGAAGGAGGAGGAGGAGGACGACGAGGAAGAGGAGGCGTAGGAGGAGGAGGAAGAGAAGGAGGACGAAGAGGAGGAGGAGGAGGACGACGACGAAGACACCCACAGGATGTTCGAGCCCGCCACCGTCGCCGGGGCCTCGGCCGCCGCCCTTCGGGGGGAGCGCAGGGTGGGCCGCAGTTCCGCGCCGCCACGGCTGCGGCGGCGAGGTGGGGTGCTTGCCATCGGCCCGTTCTGGGCCCCCCGGGTGCATTAGGTCGGGCCTGTCCCCCTACAGGCGGAGGGAGGAGGAGGAGGAGGAGGAGGAGGAGGAGGAAGAGGAGGAGGAGGAGGAGGAGGAGGAGGAGGAGGAAAGGGAGGAGGATCCCGAGGAGGCGGAGGAGGAGGAGGAGGAGGAGGAGGAGGAGGAGGGAGGAGGAGGAGTAGGAGGAGGAGGAGGCGGGATGGGGAGGGGTTGGGAGGAGGACGAAGGGGGGCCGACGAGGAAGAGGACGAGGAGGAGGATGGGGAGTGCAGGAGACTGTGCCAGGAGGAGTTGGGAGATGAAAAGGGCCCGTGGCTGGGCGTGTCGAGGAGGCAGGAGGCAGGGGGGGCGGAGACGGGCTGGGACTCGGCGTGCCCGCTCGCGCTTGCAAGGGTTAAGTCGTGCGTGTCCCTCTACAGGCGGATGTTGGACGAACAATTAAGATACTCCAACAATACCCCCAAATGGTCAAACAATGCTGAACAAATCGTCCCCAGATATTTGTTTTACTATGTTTGAATGTTCCCCCTGTAGAGGGACATGCCCGATTTAACGCTTGCAAGGGCCAGGTGGATCGGGAGGGGGGGCCTGGGGGACGTGGAGGAGGACACGGGTCAGGCGATCGCAAACATGGATTGAAGGGGCGTGGATTAGCGACGGGTCCCGTTTTCATGGGGGATCGCGGATTTCCGCCGCCGAACGAGGCAGCTTGGGTCGCATTTTGGGGAGGGCACCTCCCCCGATCCATGGATCTGGCGACCGCGCGCCAAATCCATGGATCGCCAGTCCATGCTTGCGCGCCCCCGAGCGAGGCGAGGCGCGAAGTCCGTGCAGAGGATGGGGTCGACAGCCCGCGAGGATCTCCGAGCGCGGGGATCGCTCCGCACATGCCCTCCACCCCAGGGCCAGTCGTGCACAGGATGGGGGGCCGAGAGGGTGAGGCCTGGGGTCATCACCGTAGGGATCGGCCCACCCCACAGGGGCAGAGTCGGTTGGCCTCTCCAGCGTGCCCCCTCTGAGGCGGGGGTCGGTGCCACGGAGCCCGAGGTAGACGGCACCCCTCCCCTCCGGGGGGGGGGGTAGGTCGGCCAGCGGGGCCAGGGCTTCCTTGGTGAGGTTGGGGGCCGTTTTGCGTGTCCAGCGGGTGGGCGCTCTGGAGGAGGCTTGTCCTGACGGGGGGCGCGCGGGCAGCCCGGCCCTGGACGTGCCCCGCGTTTGCCTCGGCGGCCCACCAGGGGCTGCGCCTCCTCGCCGCCTGCGGCGGCGCCCCATCGAGGAAGCCGCGTGCCGAGCGTTTCGTCACTGGGGGCGACAGGCGGGGAGGAGCCGAAGGGTCGCGGGACGGGGGCTCTCAGTGGGCCTCGGGACGCCGCGCGCGGCGCTGCTTGGTTGCAGCGTCGTGGCCGCCCGAGGGACTCTGCAGCACGGGCCCCCTCGCGGCTGCAGCGCGGCCCACCGCACGGTCGCAGTGCGTCTCGTCTGCCCGGGGTCCACTTCTCGTCCTCCCGGTGCAAGCGCCCGCCAGTGGTTATCCGTCGCGCATGCCACATCAGCAGCTCCAGGACACAGTGTCGTTGCCCCTCGTGTTCTCGGTGGCCTCTGGTACAGTGTCAGTGTGGGTCGTCTCTGGCTCGCAGTTCAGTGTGTTCGTGCTTGCTCGATGTGCATGTCACATCTTTCCCGTGGGGCCCACCATGGCCATATATTGTGTGGGTAGTCAAGCAGGACAGACGTTCGGTGATTTCGATCGCCGATCTCTCTTCAAAGGTATTGATGGGGCATCCGCACATCAGAGTCACCCAACAGCATGACATGTTCCGCCTTCTGCATTCTCAGGTCAAATATTCAAGAGGAGACAGCATTAGGCCGTAGGCCAGCTGACAACCCACCAACCCTCACAACTCGGAGTCCTGCAAATGCACGCGCACGCTGTGAATGGTGCGCCCAAGAGATAGACACTGTTGTGGACCCGAGCGCCGAGGTGCAGCCGACCACGGTGTACCCGGCCACCGTTGCTCCTGGGACGCCCATGGCGCCTGGTGGGACGTCGTTGGTGGTGCAGGCTCCCGCTTGGCTCGGGATCGGATCTGGCTGCCAGCATACTGTGCACTTTTCTGATGGATCGGCTCTTCCTTGCAGTGTGCCGTGGCTTCCCCAGACACCTGCCGTCAGCCGCGCCACGGCTTTCGCGCTGTGAGCTGTCACGCAAGTTCTTTGGGGGGCCCTCCCGCTTGAGTTGTTGGACAGATCATGCTCGGAGGTCGAATCTATCCGTATCCGCGCCCTCGCGATCTGGATTCGAGGGCGCGACCCCGCGGATACGCGGGGACTTCTCAGGTAGGGCCAAGGCCCTTGAGGTCTCAGAGCGGCATGGCATAGGCCCGCCCCCCCTGGGTCCGTCGCAGTCCTCGTCCTCGGTGTCTTCGGGCTGGGGAGGCTCCGGGAGTCTGGCGCTCGTCGCAGGGCGTAGGGCTCTCGCGGCTGGGCGGAAGACCGGTTACGTTCCGCGCGGGGCATCGCTCCGCATCCGCCGGGGCCGCGGCCCGGGGGCCCGGCCCGCGGGGCCGCTGACGCGGGTATTGTTTTCGCCCGCGCGTCGGCTTTGCATCGCTCGGACGTGTGCTTGTCTTTTCCAGCGAGGATCCTCGAGGAGCATCCTGGACCATCTGGCTGGCAAGAAAAGCACGCGCGAAGCCGAGAAACGCACGGGGAACGGACGTCCGAGCGATGGCAAGTCGGGGTCGGTTTGCCCGTTGCAGACAAAGGACTGCCAGAGCCCTCATGGCGGCCGCGTTTGGCTAAGTTTAGTTCGAGGTGCGTCCATGGCCATGGCCGCGGCCACGGGGGCCGCCGGGTCGTGCGGCCGGGGCAGGTGTGGGGCGGGGGCCTGGACATGGGCGTCGCGGGTGCGCACAGGAGCACCCCGCCGCCGCACAGTCCTGATGAGGGTGGAGGGATGCACTCGCACGACTACTGCACATCTCTGCACCTTTCGGTCTCATTCTCCCCCCCTCTCGTTCTCATTCTCGTTGTCGTTTTTTGTTGGTCTCGCTGCCTGTCTCTCCTTGTCGGTTTCGCCCCCCCTCTCTCTCTGTCTCCCTTGCTCCTCCTTTCCCTTCTCGCCTCCCCTTCCTCCCACTGCGCCCACGGCGCCCCCGCATCGAGACGCCCGTTCCTCTCTTCAGCAGTCGGCGCCGGGTCTTTTTGTGGAGCGCGTTCCCGCCGATGTGTTGAGGCAGATCCGGCTGCGGCGACTGGGGCCCCTCAGACTGCCACCCCCCCGCACACGCGCGAAGACGTCAGGATTGCCCCTCGTGCCCCTCCACGACCATGGTCGTTGAGGGCCGAGCGTTTCTGCCGCCCCCAGATTTGCGCTGGGGCGGCCAGAATGTGCTCCCAATGTCTGGGAGGCGTCCTGGAGCTGCCTGGGCCTGCAAGAGTCTCACAGGCTTTGCCCTGACGCATCTGCAGTTGCCCAGGGATGTATAGTCAAGCTGGGTCCCCACGAGTCGTTCGGCGAACGCTCGGCAGAAGCCCATGGGGGACGTGGCGGCGACGGCCACGGCTGCGCTGGCCACGGAGACGTCGACGCGGCCGCGCGCCCCAGAGGCGCCCGTGGCGCCGCCGACGGCCCTCCGGAGGTGAGGCGGCGGCCCCCTTCCGTTCCCCGCCGGCCCCGCAGCCCTGGTCGCGGCCTTCCGGCGGTGGCCGCAGCCATCGTGTGCTCGCGGTCGTCGACGGCGTCGCCGCGGTCGTCGTCGCCGCGGTCGTCGTCGTCGCGGTCGTCGTCGATGCTGGTTTGGCCGTGGCTTTGGCGCCGTCGTCGTGGCCGCGGCCGCCGTCGCGATCGCCGTCCGCGGCGGCACCGTCGTCGTCGCTGCCGTGGCCGTGGGGTGCAGCCGGATGAGGGTTCCAGGCAAAGGGGGAGGAAGAGGAGGAGGAGGACGAGGGGAATAGATGATCAGGAGGAATTTCATTCTGGTTGTCCTGTGAGGGTGAGTGGGCAGGGCAGAGTATTCAAAAGCTGTTCGCAGGGGTGAGTGTGAGTGAGGGTGAGTGGGCAGGGTGAGGGTGAGGGTGAGTGGGCAGGGCAGCATTCGACACATGCCACACATGCCGCACAGTTCTTGAGGAATGTGCGGGGGGGGGTAGGGTGGCGGCGGAGGAGGTGTATGAAACCGGGAGGTGGAGGGAGAGGACAGGGATTGAGGAGCAGGGTGGTTGTCGTGGAGCATGATGTTGATGATCACGATCAGGGAAGATGAGCAGGAGGAAGAGGGTATGGGGAAGACGAGGACGAGAAAACAAGTATGGAAGGGAATTCGAGGCGACGGGGCGGGCAAATTGATGTGGGAGGGAAATTCGAGGGGTGTTGAAGGGAACAGGAACGAGAAGACGCAGTTGGGGCGGCCGAGAAGGAGCAGGATGATCAAACAAATTATAATAGCAAGGGGGACGTGCGTGTGCGGGCGAAAAGATGGCGGAGGTGAGGGGGGATGAGAGGGATGAGGAGGTGAGGAGGATATGAGCCTGAAGGCCGATGCAGGAGGAGCACGAGGGATGAGAAGATGCGGGTGGAGCGCGGAACTTGGAGTTGACACAGAGAGTGTAAATGTGAATGCGCGGGGGGGGGAGATGAGGGAGGTGGTCCGACACGTCCTCACGAGGGCACCGGGCTGGCTCACAAGACGGTCGAAGGGAGATGTTGTCATGCTTTTGGGCAGCCCGATCCACTGGACCCCCCTTTGTCGGGGGGGGGGGGGGGGCGCTCCACCTGGCCCACGGATTCCAAGCGCCCCCATGAGGGCCCGCAGAGGCCACGATGACAATCCGAGAGGAGCCGGCAGGTCCCAAACCGGTTCAGGAGCCCCAAGGGGCCCCTGCATTTCCACGATACCCTCAAGCGGATGCAGGAGTGCCAGCAGTAAAAACGCCAGCAGCAGATGAATTGACGTCACGTAGTGACATGCGACATCAGCACATGACACAGCTTTATGATCATCGGGCATGGCAGGCTGCGAGCAGCAGCAGCACATCATGCAGTGTCAGCAGCGAAATGCGACACTCAACATCATTTGGCATGCACCAGAAAACATCAACCTACAACTTGTGGCAGTAACCATCAGCTGAAATGGTCAGTTGCAACCAGCAGTAGGCAACAGCAATCAGCACGCATCAGCACTCAGCACCAACCAGTATCGAAGACGACTACGGCGAATCACCGCCCCCCCCCTGCTTTTGAGAATCGCGTATACGGCCGGATATTGGCCAGAGCTCGGCCACATTATTGGACTGTGTGTCCCCCCAGCCGTTGTGGGAACTTGTCGGGAAACATTTTGGGGAGGAAGAGGACGAGGGAGGAACAAGGAAGATGAGGAGGCGGAGGAGAAGCCGGAGGAGTCTTTGGAGCCTTCGGGGTACTCTCAGGGCCTCCTCGGTGCCTCCTGGGGGCCTCTTGGAGGCCTCTCGGAGGCCTCCTTGGGCCTCTTGGAGGCCTTTGGAGGCTCCGTGGGATGCTCTTTTGCCGTGTGTAGGCGTTCTCGGCCCGTCTGACGCCGTCGGAAGCCGTTTGGGTGCTTCTTTGGGCCGACTTGCGGCTCCCGTGGGACGCTCCAGGGCCGTCTTGGAGGCCATCTTGGGCGTTTTGGAGGTCTCCTGGGCCGTCTTGGGGCCCTCTTGGGACCGTCTTGGGGGCCCTTTGGGCCGTCAGGGGGCCATCACGGATGCCTTAGGTGCTCTTGGAGCCATTTTGGTGGTCTTTGTGGTCGTCGTAGTGGGACAGTCGAGAATGAGCAAACGCCAGAATCCTGAAACAATTTGCGGAAATCTATATTTTTGGCAATTTCGGGCATTCCTGCAGGTCCTCTTGGAGGTCTCTTGGGTCGTTTTTGGGCATACTCGAGAGTCTTGGGCCACCTTAGGGCTATATTGGGCCGTGTTGGTGGCTCCTTGGGCCGACTTGGAGCCATCTTGGATCCTCTTGGGTCGTCTTGGAGGCCATATAGGACCATCTTGGGCGATCTTACAGGTCATCTTGGGCTATCATGGCCGTCTTTTGGAGGCCATCTTGGAACATTCTGGGCGGAAAAACCATTGCTTCCTCGCTCCAGACAAGCTTTTCGGGTGGCCGGCGGGTTGGGCCGAGACCCGACTGGGAGTCTTCAAAAACAGCCAAAAGCCATTCAGGTATTCAGCACGCCGTGCACCCCTGTGGCAAACCACAGGGGACGGCAGATCGGAGACGCCCAGGGCGAATCACCGCCGCCCCCTAACTTTTTTGGAAGCGCCTGTGTGATAAAAATTAGGCTATAACCATCGAACCATGTGTTCCCCAATCCGTCGTTGAAACCTTTTGGGTACACGTGAGGACGATGGGAATGAGGAGAAGAAGGAACAGGGAGGAGGAGGAGAAGGAGGAGGAGGAGAAGAAGGAGGACGCCTCTTGAAAGCCTTTTGGGGCACTATTGGGTCTCCTTGGAGCTTCATGGGGGCCTCTCGGAGGCCTCTTGGGGGCCTCCTTGGGCCCCTTGGGGGCCTTTGTGGGCTTGTTCGGGGCCTCTTTGGCCGTCTTAGGGCGTTCCTGACCCGTCTACCGCCGTCGCAAGCCGTCTTTGGGACCTCGCTGAACCGACTTGGAGCCCTCGGGGCGCTCCAGTGCCGTCCTGGAGGCCATCTTCGGCGTCTTGAAGGCATTTGGGCCGACTTCGGGCCCTCTTGAGACCCTCTTGGGGGCCTCTTGGGCCCTTCGAAGCCATCTTCGAGGCCTCTTGGGCCGTCTCGGGCTGTCGGAAGGCCGGGAAGCAGCAAATACCAAAATATTTTTAGAACCTTGGGAGGATCTATGGTTTTTGCCTCCTCAAGGCCTTCTTGGGTACCCGTCTGTAGGCCTTTTGGGCGCCGTCTCGGCTGCCTCTTGGGGGCGTCTCAGGCCGTGTTGGACCATTTGGAAGTCAGCTTGGGCCGTCTTGGTGACTTCCTGAGCGGATTTGGAAGCGTCTGGGACCCTCGTGGCCCGTCTTGGAGGCCGCCTTGGTCCTGGACCATCTTAGGCGAGCTTGGGGGCCATCTGCGACCATCTTGGCGGTCTTGGAGGTCCCCAGAGGCGTTGCAAATTCCGGGTGGCCGGCGCGCTGGGCCGAACAGCAGCACACATGATCAGTCAATGACCAGCAACTGGCGCCACGCGTTAACCTGATGGAGCAATTGGCAACTACACGTCATCAGTAACATGACAGCATCCACACGTTGCGGCAGTCAGCAGCGAACACCATCAAGCACCGCCAGCAATCAGCAACACCAATTTGGAGTGGTCGTTGGTAAGCAGCGACAGTGAGCATCGGCAGCAGTCAGCGGCGAACGCCAGTGCGCAACGATAATGTGTAGTAGCAAGGAGCAGGGGCAACCATCATGATCCGGCAGCAACAGGTCGCAAGCGACACCTATCGGACAGCAAGTAGCAGCAATCATCCTCAAGCGGGAATGCAGATCAGGGGAGAACACTCGTTACCGCAACGGGAACACGCAGCAGCAGGCAATACCAAGCAGCAACACCACTCACCAGTAACTTGAGCAAGCGGCAGCAGGAGACAGCACGCGGAATCATGCATCAGCAAACAGAAACCAGGAGCGCAATCGGCAGGCGGCAGCAAGCAGCATGAGCAAGAATGTTGCGGGTAGCAGCGTTGGTTGCCAGCATGGAGCACCAGGCAGCACAGCTAGCTTTGAATGAGCAGCAGGCCGCAGGCGTGAGCAATCAGCAACATGCAGCAACAATCAGTCGGCGACGCGGAGGGAACGAGCTTATGGTCGCGGGGGTTCCTCTGACGGTTTGCGGGCGCATCTCTGTTTGCCCCGTCCAGGGCGCGCCGAACTTGCGCGCGTGCCGGGCGGGGCTTGTAATTTGCTTCACTCGCCAGCCAACTGAGCGTTTTTTCGCTGCAGCACGCGTGCACATAATTTGCCCGGGCGCTGTAGGTTGCGAGTTGAGATCAGTTCAGCCTGCAAAGGTTCTTGCAGCTGACCTCATTTTCTGCGAAAGCCAATGACCACTCGGCAACCTACCTGCACAGCCCGATCAAGCTACCCATGCTGGAGCATATGTATTAAACATGTCTCAGGTGGGTGTCCCGACTCGCGGCCAAAATGTGCCAATGTGGGGAAAGCCTCACCTTCCCCAGGCCGCTCCTACATCATGTCTCCTCTACAGTCAGGCTCATTGGTTACCGTGTCGCGTCGCCTGATCTGGCCTGTCACGCTTCGGCGCGACACGCTAAGAACTTAAAACTCCCAAGCGTCAACGTCTCGGGCCTTTCCCAGCCGAAGCGGAGCGACGTGCTACCCGCTTGCAAGGCACAGCGCGTTGCCGGGGCCGCCGCCGCGATGCGCTGGGCAAAAGTTCTTGATCGCAAGACTCTCGCTACTCCAATTCGCCCCTGTTCGCGGATGGAAGCCATATTCGCATCCATTGTTTCGTTGGCCGGGCCCATGTGCAGCGGGCCCGCAGGGACGTTTTTTCTTGTCCGCGGATGCCTTGCGCAGCACGCATCCTTGCGACAGCGTAGTTCTCCACGGGATCGCGCTCTGGAAACCAGACCGCGAGGGCGTTGATCTGGGTACCTTCGCCGATCGTGCCTTGTCCTCCATGCCCGCACCCTGTCGCTCCCTGGGCTCGTTCTCGGAGGAGCAAGGGGGCCGCTTCTGCTTGGAGTCGGCCCCCAGACGCCTCACCGATTTCTCGTGCTGTGCTCAGCTGCGCCGGGGAGGAGCGCCCTCCGAAGGCCAACGAGCGAGGAACTAAGGGGAGGAGGAGGAGGAGGAGGAGGAGGAGGAGGAGGAGGAGGTTACGGTCAGAATGTTTGCTTAGGTTGTCGCACCGCGGGTTCTGGCCCACGACGCTTTGGCGCGACATGCAATCCACGCCCCAGTCCCCAAGCGTCAAGGTTCCGAGCTTTTTCCAGCCTTCCGCCCCGCAAAGCAAAACGACCCGCTATCCGTTTGCAGGGCACGGCATTTCGCAGGGGCCGCTGCCGCGACTCGATGAGCAACAGGTTCCTCACAGTACTTCGGGGCTTTGCTCCGATCCCGTCACCTCCACCCTCCTCCTCCTCCTCCTCCTCCTCCTCCACCTCCCCAATGACCCATCACTACTTCCTGCCCTGTCGCCCTTCTGCAACTGCTCGGTAGGAGTGCTGCCCTCGTCTCTCCCCAGATCGTGTCCAGCGGTGCCGCCGTCTCTCTGACGTATCGCTTGTCCCCCACAGGAGCCCGAACGTTCCAGTCCATCAACATTGTGATCCCGCTGACGTGTTGGCCACAGTTCAGATTGGCGGTCGCGCCCCAGCGCGGGCCACATGTCTGGATCCGATTACTTACCCGTCGTTGCCGCCCCACCGCTCTTCCCTTCTCCGCCTTCCCCTGGTCCTCTTGCCTCTCCTGTTGCTGCTGATCATCCTCCACCTCCTTCCTTGTTTTCTGTTTCTCCTGACCTTCCCCCCCAATGTGCAATTCTTCCCCCCGCCTCTGCTTGCGCTTCTGTCTGTGCACCGAACCTAGGGGATCACGTTCTTCTAGGACACCCCGGTCGCCAGGTACAACATTATTCAGCCTAATGTGAAGGATTGAGTGGGAGGGGTAGGATGTCAGATTTGGCGCGATCATACCTAGCTTGCCCCTTGCCCCTTCTCTCCGTACCTTCCCTTTTCTCTTCCCCTCGCTCGTTCCGCCCCCAGGCTTCTCGGCTGCGCCCTCTCCCTCTATACCCCACCCCATGCCTCCCTCTGCTCTCCTCCTCTCCCTTTCCCTCCTCTTCCTTCCCTCCCCGCTGCTGCTGGCCGAGGCAGTGAGGAAATCATGTCCGGTGGGTTGTGCCAGGCACCCCGCGGACAACCAGTTCGTCCGTTGGCCGAGTGGGTCTGCTGCCTGGCGCGCCATGGGCTGCGCCATACACTCCGCGGCAACTGAACCGTCCGCTGGCAGAGTGGGGCTACCACGGGTAGCGCCACGGGTTGGGCCAGGCGCCCCGTGGGCAACCCAGTCGCCCATTCGCCCAACGTGTCTGTAGAGAACCCTTACAGACTTCAGTTCTGGAGGCAGTTCACAGCATAGCATCAGATCCAGCATCATTGCGCTCGGTGATAACATGTCTTCGACCTCGCGTGGTCTCTTCGCTGATCTGCAATGTTGCGTATGATGGCAAGGATGGTTCCGCAAGACCTGTTGCTCGCAACTCCCAGGCCTGGTCGGCAAAAGCGAACGAGGACCGCCACAGTTGTGTTCCCGCACCTCCTAGCACCAGGGTGAGCGCCTTCGTTTGCTCACCAGTCTGTCTCGGGCCACTTTTCCTGTGGTGAGGGGCTTCAGGTGTGGCTGGGCCTCGCAGAGTCCGCATTGCCGAGTCTCTCCAATCGCCAGTCAGACAGGGGGGGGCACGATGAACAAGGCAAGGTGAACAGTTTTGGGACTCTGAGCACCGCTCGTGAGAATTGTTCTCACCATTTGCTCCGCCTTCCAGGGCGTGCGCTTCTCCAGTTGGCTATTGGATCGGCGGCGAAGTCCGACCCGACCCTCGCCGATCAACGATTCAGGGAACTCGATAGGCTGCGGGGGTAGTTTTCGGATAAGTATCGGAATTCGTCAAGCCGAACCAAACACCCGCCGCCCATCGATGCAGGAGAATCGATTGTTGGTGGGGGTAGGGCTTGGATGTCGCAACTTATTAGATGTCCAGCACTGTTCACCACCTTTGATCGTGGACGAACATATCCGCATTTGCGGTCTTGTAGGCCGGGCCCCTGGGCCGCGTCCCCGCGGATACGGAGCGTGTTGTCTCGGATGCCCCTCGCGGAAGTTGTTCATGCGACCGCGTATCCGCGGGGTCGTGCCTAAGAATCCAGGCCGCGAGGGCGGGGATACGGATGTGTTCGACGCGCGTGGTTTGCCCCCCGATCCTCCCCATCCTATAGTCAACCCGCATAGGAAGGATGGGCAACCTTCCCAAGGGTACCCTTGCATCGTCGCCCTTCGGCCCATCCTTGGCCGCTCTCGTTGGCCGCGCCCCGCTCGACAAGCTGCAAAATGGGCGTCCAAGGCCCTTGCGTCCTTATCGCGCATCCTTATTCCACGGGCTGACTGTAAGCTTGTGGAGGACGATCAATGGAAAGGAAGCATGTTGTCAAATAATTCCCAGATGTCTAAACCATGTGTTAAACATACCCCAAACATGTAAAACACGTGTTTAAACATGTTTAGAACATTGTTCCTACATTTTTACCACACATTAAATTCAATGCTAGGACTGTTAGGGTGTCCATTGTCGTGGCATCCACAACTGCAAGCTTCAAGAAGCCGGGCCCGAGCCGCCTGCCGCCTACCGGCCGCGTCGCCGCCCCGTGCTGGAGGACATGCTCCGCATCGGCCAGCACGACTTCTCGCAGCAGCGGCTGCGGACGGTGACCCCCCGGCCTTGGCCTCTCGGGCCGAACAAAAGGGTGGAATAGGGAAAGGGGGCGTTACGAAATCTGCTGCATGCAGCTGGTTTCGGCCCCGCCGCCAGGCCCATTCCTCGATACATGGGCGCCTCCCGGCGCCGGGAGGCGCCAGGAAAATCAGCTACGTGAGCTGATTCTCAACCCCCCCCTTTGCTATCCCCCGTTTCGCCCGGCCCGAGCCTCGCTTGGACGTGTGCTTGTTTCTTTCGGCGAGGACCATCATCAAGCAGTGGCGAAGCGTCATGTCGTGCCTATAGGCCTACCCAACTATGTTCTAAAACCCCTTTTGTGGTCTGCACGAAATGTTCATAGAACATTTCGGGGCCAGGGGTGTCTGGTTTTGACGCATCGGGTCTATGTTCTAAGAGCATTGTTTTTGTTCTTCGAGCATTTTCGGTTTCTGAGAAAGTGTCGTGGGAGGCCTATAGAGATGCCGAGACGGTCGGCCCCTGCTCAACATCGAGGAGCAGCTTGACCACCTTGCGGAAGAAGCAAGCGCACGGAACGGACAGCTGAACGGGGAGTGGCCGCCCGCGCGATGGGGGGCCCCCCGCCTGTTTTCTGGGCGGCGCGCCGAGGGGGGAAGCAAGAGAGGGGAGGCCTTCTCAGAGGGCGCCGGGGCCCCAGAGAAGGCCCCGGCATTTTTTTGGGAGAGCCGGAGGCCTGCTGACCGTTCTGTTAGGTCGGGCGTGTCCCCCTTACAGGGGGATTTCTGGGCGAAAAACTAAAGATACCCCACACATGCACAAAATGTTCAAACATGGCCCAAATCCAAAAATCGTCCCCATATTATTTTTGGATTATTTTTGAATCTTCCTCCTGGAGAGGGACAGGCCCGACTTCACCCTTCTGTGAAGACCCGCCCCCTCTCACTTTCCGCCCGGGGCGCGCAGCTCCGCAGCAGCGGCGGCGGACAGTGGCCCGCGCCAGGTCTCCTGTGCTGCCCTCCGCGGCCGCGGGCGAACATCGCCCAAGCATTACGATGTTCCAGCCTGCTTTAGCCTCGATCGCCAGAAATAATTTCGAACACCAGAGCAGTACACCAAAATCTCGAGGGTTTTCACCTGTCGGGCCCTGGGAGACACGCGTCCGACACTGCTTCGACACTGTTTCGACACTCTTTCGACACTTTTGTGGGTGCTCGAACTTATCTGGGATGTGGTCCTCAAGTACGATGGGAGCAACATCCCCCAAGCAGTGCTTGCACCTTGGGTTTCCCATGTCTTTTTCACTTATCTGGGCTGGTCTGCCGCCCTGGCCGGCTGGTGGTCGCTCCGTCGCCGCCCCGTCGCCGCTCGTTGCCGCCCGTCGCGACGCCCGTCTGGGCTGGTCTGCCGCCCCGGCGGGTATGTGGTCGCCCCGTCGCCGCCCTGACGCCGCCCGTCGCTGCGCCACATAGTTTGCACCGCATGGGTCGTACCACATAGGCTGCACTGCGCAGCTTGAACCACATGGATTCTCCGATCTAAAGCACTGGGATCCCCCTCCCCGAACTTGCCGGACCCTTTTTTCGCATAGCAATTTACATGCGAGTGTGTTTTTTTCGTCCATCCTAAATATGAATCCGTGTCATCCCAGCTGAACCGGTATCCCCCCCTCTTTTGCACAACAACTATGCGCACATATTGGTTTATCAAAAATCACCAGTTCCCAATAATCCCTTGCAAAACAATGTGACGGAGTGCACGCGCGCGCATCGTCGCGCGCGCATGCCGAAATAATTCGAACACCTGTAGGGGTCGTAAGGATCTCAAAATCGAGTGCCCCGAACACAGATACAACGATACAACCATATGTTTTCTCAACTCGAGCGTTAAAACAAATATTACTTTCGGGCTCTTGCGAATTCTTGAGAAAATAATGCTTTGTAGCATTTTCGAAATCTGCTACCAAAAGGGCCTCTCGCGCGCGCATGTCGAAATCGCTTGAACGCCCTTGCGCGCGTGCTTAGGTATCGTAAGAATTTCAGAAGTGTGCCCCGAACACTTGTAAAACAAATGGCTTTGCAACATCAATTTGAACAACTGCCTGCGATAGCACTCCTGCGAATTCGTAGGAAAGCCATAATGTTCAACATGTTTGTTACAGTCGGCCAAACTGGCCCATCGCTTCGCACGTCGAAATCATCAGAACGCCCTTGCGCGCGTGCTGGGGGGGACGAACCGTGTCAAGTAAGACCATGCGAGCCACTTTCGCGCGTCGGTTGCGTGCATGTCGAACTCCAACCAAAACCGTCTTCACCGACGCAAGGGCGCCGTCATCACCGTCGGCGTGATCAGCGTCGGCGACGTAACTGGCCTTGCCGTCGTCATCGTCGTCATCGTCATCATCGTCACCAGCATCGCTACCATCATCATCGCGTCTACCGTCGTCGACAGTGCCATGGTACCGCGCCCGCCCCTACCGTCGACTCGCACTGCAGGGCCCGCGGGGAATTTCATCTCAGAAAGGCTGGGGTCCTGGTTGGTGCGCCGCGTTCAAGGGCAGCGGGGAGAAGCAGCCCTTCCTCGTCCCGTACGGGCCTCTCCGCCATCGGGGAGCAGGAGAACGGCGGCTTGGGTAAGCCCGTCGCGCGGCTGATGCCGAGTGGTCGGCACAGACAAGTCCGACGCAGCGTTCGTCGTTGAGCCACGACTTCTTCGCTTCGCGCGTCGCAGCGCACGCCGCGCTACGGTCGTCGCGGTCCTCACGGCGATCAGGGAGTGGCTCCAGTACCTCCTCTCCGGAGTAAGGTGCTGCGCGGGTGGCAGGGCCGTCCGTCGGACCCCAGATTTTGATATGTTTCTTCCGTTTTGTTGTGGTATGTCTCTCTCTCTCTCTCGGTTGTTGTTGTTGTTGTTGTTGTTGTTGTTGTTGTTGTTGTTGTTGTTGTTGTTGTTGGTGTTGTTGTTGTGTTTGTTGTTGTTGTTGAATATTATTACTTCTAAAGAATAATTATTGTTGGGCCCCCTGGTGCACGCCCCCCTCGCCGCGTCTAGGCCGCAGCCACATTTTCATCATTTTCGTGAGGAAGTCTCAGGCAAAACGGGGGAGTCCGGATCCGGTTGTTTTGTTGACGCCCGCTTTCCCTGTCAAAAAACAATATAAAATGACATGTCTTGTTCTAACATAACCTAACTTCAAGAATCCTTTGCAAAAAATGACACGAAGTGCACACTCGCGCGCGCAAGATGAAATCCTTCCAAAACCTTAGTTTTCGTAGCGATTTTAACATAAAAACATGAAAAACCCAATGGTTTTTCAAAAAAAAAGTTTCAAACATTCATCCCGCGCGCTCTTGCGGATTTCTTAGGAAACCCAATACTTTTTCAACATTTCTGTCAAACGGGCTCTTGCGAGCAACTTTTTCACGTGCTTCGAACTTCTGCAACAACGGTTGCGCGCCTGCCAGGGCCATCATCCCTGTCAAATAATACCATATGGGACACATTCGTTTTTTCTTCGCGCGCGCACGCCGAAATCTTCAATTGCAGGGGGAAAAGTCGTATACTAAGCTAGCTTACAGAAAATGTTACCACAACAAGTCATTGTACCCATGCGCCAGTGTAGTAGCCAAGGTCGTCCGCAGGCCACGAAGTGAGGTGTCCGAACGTCATAGGGCGGGAAGCTGGGTGTGGGTGGTGGCGAAGAGTCGTTTGGAAATTGGTAGAGCTTGAACCGGCCCCCCCACAAAGTGGGGGTATTGCCCGCCTCCTATGAAAACCCTGGCACTGGTGAGAACGGAGTGTCCCCACGTGCTAGTAATTATTGTTGTTGTTGTTGTTGTTGTTGTTGTTGTTGTTGTTGTTGTTGTGTTGTTTGTTCTCTCCCCCTCTCTCTAGATATACATATATATATAGATATAGAGACCGGTTCGCATTGCAATGTGCAATCAAATATGTTCCGTCGTCCATCGTATGTTGGAGCATGTGCCATCCCAGGCGGATGCCGATCAATCTTCAATCATTAACAACAAGAAACATCATTCGCGCACACTCGTGGATAAAAGGCATCTGCGTTCAAGAACGCGATGAGAACAATTGACGAAGTGCGCACACGCGCGTCGTCGCGCCCGCATGCCAGAATCCTGACAACGTTACTCACTGCGTGGAGCTCCCTGTATCGCATCTATTTGCATGGACTTTTTTCCGCGGTGAGTGCTTAGGCGCAGTTGGTTTCGAACATAAACGGTTTTGAGTATGGATGGATTGGGAGTGAGTCGCAGCAGCACGAGCGAGTCTGCGCGTATGAGCCTGGAGCCCCCTGAAACCTCCTGGGGTTCACCCGTGTTTCCTGGAGCCTTTTGGGGCCTCTTGGGGCTTCTTGGGTCCTTTCGTGGCATCCTGGGGCCTCTCGTGGCCTCGTGGGGCTTCCTGGAGCCTCCTGGAGCCTCCTGGGGCCTCCTGGGGCTTCCTGGGGAGGAAGCATACGCGTCCCAGGAGAAACCCATTCTACAGGAACAAGCTTACGTAAAGCACTGCGGATTCGATCCGCAGGAAAAAGGCAATCGCTATGAACACGCGCAAATCACCATGGACTCGTGCCCCAGGGGAGGCCCAATCTATAGGAACATACGTCGAAAACTCCGAAGCGGATACGCATGAGAAAGACAAGCTCTAGACACATACATAAGACACCAAGGATTTGTGCTCCAGGGGAGGCACGCATAATGAGCATGCGTACAACACATGTTATTGGAACCACTCCTGTTGCCTTCTGTGGCCTCATGCTCCTGGGGCCTCTTGGGGCCTTCTGGTGCCTTCTGGGGCCTCCTGGGGCCTCTTGGCGCTTTCTGTGGCCTCCTGGGGCCCCGTGTGGCCTCTTGAAGCATTCTGGAGCCTCCTGGGGCGCTCTGGGGCTTCCTGGGGCCTCCTGGAGTCTCTTGGGGCATCCTGTGGCCTCTTGAGTCTTCCTGTGGCCTCCTGATGTCCTCCTGATGCCTTCTGTGACCTCCTTTTGCCTCGTGGGGCCTCCTGGAAGAT